CTAATACAACTCGGCTCTATAGGTGCCGGAAGTGGTAAACCAGCACTTATAGTGTTTTACCCGCCCACACGAGCGTCTGTCAGCAAGTACCGACACCTTTCTTTTGTGAAGAAATAAGTGTCAGTTATAAATAAAAATCGACATTAATACTATAAATACCTTTTTTTTAAAAAAGGACATCTTTAATTTATTATAGGTAAAAACCGACAACTATAATTTATTATAGGTGCCGGTTTTTTTAAAAAAACAGCACCCGAAAAAATCGAGCGGATCCGACCGTGTCTTATCCACTCACGCGGTCACGCCTATCCTTATCTCCCCACCCGCGACATTCTCTCTCCCTCTCTCTCTCTCGCGTGACTCTCTCTCTCTCTCCCTCTCCCCACCAGCGAGCACCGGTGGCAGCGTCCTCCACACCTACTAGTGCCGGCGGCACCGCCCTCCCCTAACGCCCTCTCCGGCGGTAGCAGCAGGAGGGAGGCAGCAACAGCATGTGGCGACTGGACTAGAGGTGGTAGCGACGAATCTGGTGTAGCGGCGGGTGGATCTTGCGGTGGTGGTGGTGTTGACAGCGGCTGCTGGCGGATCCAGCGGCGACGGGTCCCTCTGACCCCTCTCGCAACCCTCCAGCGGCGGTGGCGGTGGCGGCGGTGATGGCAGCCGCAAGTAGATCCAGCGGCGATGGCAGCGTCAGCGGCGGCCGCGGGTGGATCCGGCGGCGGTGGCGGCTCCCTCCGATCCCTCTCGCCTCCCTCCCGCGGCGGATCTGATGGCGGCGGCGGCCGCCGCCGTGGGTGGATCCAGCAGCGGTGATGGCGTCGGCGGCCGCCGTGGGTGGATCCGGCGTGGGTGGCGGTGGCCGAGGACGGATCCGACGGCGACAGGAGTAAAGTTCTTGGAAGTTCTTTGATGTTGTGATTATATGATTCCTTTTGTGATTATGTGATGATGATTGTGGTTGATTTTGGGAGGAAAGTATGATTGATTCGATTCCAAGTGGAATCGGTATGTGACTAGTGACTTAGTGTTCTTTGTGTTCTTGAATGTTGTTGGATTTCTTGGATTGATCGGGGTGAAGGGAAGCTTGAATGTTGTTGGATTTATGCATCGAGACAACTTTTTTTATTCGTGGAGCCTCAAAGGTGTCGTTCTAAACCAACACCAGAACCAACACCTACTTTATTTTCACAACAGTGCCGCCTCCGTGGTTGCCGGTTGGGAAAATCGGCAACTATCCGTGTTTCTGAAGTAGTGCATAATATATACTTAATATATTTTTGTTAGGTAGAAAGTATTAAATGTTTTCCTGAAATTGACAATTTATTTCACGAGAACACACAACGAATGTAGCTATGTATCCACACCACATTTATTGAGTCGCCTCTATAAAATGGCCTATGCATGCATTAGCTGCTACACAAACTAAAGTGACAAACAATTGAGAAGAAGGTCCAGCTATCTAGAGCCTAGAGGTTATAGGGGATGAATAAACGAAATAATTTTGGTACTCTAGCCTATTTGTTTTGAGCAAAGTGCAAGGAAATCCCCAAGGATGGAACAATGTTGTGTTGCAGCTTCTAAGGGGGGGGGGGAAGATTTTCTGTTACATTTTGTTACATCATGCTTCAATCTTTAATTTAATCAGCATGTATATACATTGGCAGTCTATATTTATCATCAGATTATCTGGGAACGTGAGGTACCAGGATTAGAAATTTTGCTTTTGTAGATTTTGTTTCAAGAGGTACCCTTTGAGATTGAAGGCACTCTATCTCTCTGTGTTGATTCATCAAGATTCGTAGAACTTTATGATATATATCTAACTGGTGTTTGGTACTACAAAACTAAAGATGCCGCCAGTCAATAATTTACAATATGAGATGAAAATTGAAGAGAAAAGGAAGATGTGGTTAAAAAAAACTTTTAGAAATTTCAATGGTTTCATATAGTCATTCTTCTATGAGAAATAGGGATTATCCATTGTCAATCAAAGGTTGAACCCTCGTTTCACAGGCTCCTTTCTGTATGAAGATTTTTTTAGCTTAGATAAAGCTCTAAAACGTACGATCAAAAAGGCTATAAGATTTTATATTGGCTTACCTATTTCGCGAGTTTTGTCTACTAGCATAGCAGACCCAAGGGTGTGCCGACATCTCGAATTTTGCAGCATCAATGGTTACTTAAAGAAATGTTTTTTTAGTTTGTATATAAATTGAGTTGATCGAATGTAAACCTTTAATTCTCGGCTCGAGAACACAAACCGTTTGATTTTCTTATCAAGTTAAAAAAAATCAAACTAGTTATAAATTATGGTCAAAATTTGACCAGATTTTTCAAAGGAGTCAATGGCTTTCAAATGGTTTTTGTGAAATTCTAGAAAACCGCTGATCGTCAGCTTTTAGCTCGGGATTCGGGAACGGTTTGGTAAGCCGTAAGCCCTACTGATGTAGGACTTTGCAGGCAAGACTCTGGACAAACTGCAGTTGTTCCCCTCAAAGATCATGCTATTTCTTTATATTCTCCACTTGATCTGACTCTACCAAAGTTAAAAGTTTTTTTTTCTTCAAGTGAGTAAGGTTAGGCTGCAATCGGTACCATCGTCCGTCTTTTGGCTTATGAGCCGCATCAATATTTTCAAATTTTGAAAACCTAGTTTTAATTTTTTTTTATCTTAATTTATTTTCCAACATTATTTTTTCAAAAGCAAAGGCCACATGTATAAAAAATTTTTACTCGTAAATTAATTTTTTATAACTACTGCAAAAATGTCCGTTATTTTGCAACAGGTGAAAACAATTTTCACGGTTGATTAAAAACTCCATCAATTTAAACTATAAATCGAACCAGACAAACAAAATAATAGCAAAACAGTCAGAAACCATATATAGCATTGAATTCAGTTGCACGCGCTTCATGCGTCATCACACGAACAATCCCATATGTGCATTTTTCCATAGCCTCACAAATCGATTCGGTGGCTATTCCATAAGTTGATGTATGTGTATTTGCTATACCTCATCGACCAAATATTGAAATTTGATTATCAATTAGTAAATGTTTTTTACTATAGATGGAAAGCATTTATAATGTAACAAATTTGCCGTATATACACTTTAAACAATCATAAATTCAAAATGAAAATATTTATGAGGAGAGAAATTTGGAAGAGTAAAAAAGGAGGAAAAAGAGAAAAGGAGGAGAAAAGAGAGGAGATTGGAAGGAGATGGAGAGGATCAAGATTATTACAAGAAACAAAGAGAAAGGAAAAAAAGGGAGAGGAAAAAAAGACGTCGATCGGGGGAGGGGTACATGCAGCGTCGGTTGGAGGCGGGTTAGATGGTGTGAACCGGTTGGGTTGAGCTGGGAGGGGGAGGGTTGGGCTAGAATTGGGGTGTATAATAGTTATTTTAGACTCAAATCGAATTGGACATATAACAAACTCAAAAACCAACTCAAACATGGATGAGGTACCATAATTCCGACGGGAACATCTTTAATCTCTACTATTATAAAAATTGAAGATGTTTCCACTGGAGTTTTGGTACGTCATCCATATTTGAGATGGTTGTACGCCGTCCGTATCCAATTCGACGCGAGTCAAATAACTATTATACACCCCCTCCTAGCCCAACCCAACCGGCCCACACCATCTCGTCACCCCTCCCCCAATCGACGTCTTTTTTTTCTCTCTTTTTTCCTTTTTCATTTTGTTTTCTCCCAATAATTGAAGATGTTTCTACTATAATTTTAGCACCTCATCCATGTTTGGGTTGGTTGTCTGTCACCCATATCCAATTCGATATGAATCTATAATAACTATTATACTCCCTCTCCCAGCCCAGCCCAACCAGCCCACACCATCTCGCCGCCCCATCCCTAAGGCCCCTCTCCCGATCGATATCTTTTTCTCTCTCTCTTTGTTTTTTCTTACTTTTCTTTTCTTTTCTCCTGATAAACCTAATCCTCTTCCTTTCCTTCCAATCTCTCTTTTCTCTTTTTCCTTCTTCTTTTTTTCTCATCCAAATTTCTCTCATATATATATATATATATATATATATATATTTGAAATTATCATTGTTTAAGGTGTGTATGCGGGAAGTTTGTTACTTTGCAAATGCTTTTCATCTATATAAAAAAATACTTTCACTAATTGAACAATCAAAATACCGATGCTTCAACTTATATAAAGGATTCTTCGTGTGATGATGCATAAAACAAGTGGAAATGGGTTTAATGCTATATATGATTTTGGCTTTGTGTTGCTATTGTTTTGTTTGTCTTGTTTTGATTTGTCATTTAAATTGGCAGAGTTTTTACCAATAGTAAAAATTATTATTTTCACCTGTTACAATGGAGAGACATTTTTGCTAGTTTCTATAATAGTAAAGAATTAACCTTATCAACCATATGCCACCCATTAAACAGAATGTTTTTGCCGAAATTTTGACAATTTGACTCTTTTGAAAAACTTATTTGAAAAATAGACCGTGTCAAAAATTTATTGTAAAAATAGGCCGAAACCTCAGCGCCAAGCTATACATATTTTGACACTAAAAATCTATCCGAGGTGACAGTGTATGCTATGTCATTGGAGCTCAGCGCCAATTCCACTGGAGCTGAGCCCCCTGCTTGCTAACTACTAGCTGTATAGACTTTACTTAACAAGCTCCGGTCAGCCTAAGACGCGGCTGCGCTATATACACGTCAGTCTATTAGTAAATAGTACTCCTAAATAAATGAAATAACGAATACTCATAGCCAAGAAGCAGTCAGCAGCCAGGCAAGAAGCAGACACCACCAAAAGTCAAATCACAACTGTACTTTAGATTACTCCAACAGGACAGCGTGGAGCTGGTGGGGCCAGGCTGGCTGAGTCCGTACGTCGCGCAAACTTAACCCCCACGGCATACGCACCGCACCGCCTTAATTATACTACTAATCCTCCCTCCCCAAATCCAATATTAATCCCCCCGCGTCCCGCAAATCCGCGAAGCAAACAACACACGCGACGCGACACGGTCGCTAGTGCGGCGCGGCCCACCAAGGCACCAACACGTAAGGCAACACAAGACAAACCAAACAAACACAAGAGAGTAGTAGTTTTTTTACTTTTAGGGCTCTCCCAGATTTCCTCTCCTTCCTCGCGCCGCGGCGATCGATCGATCGGTTTCCGGCTAGCTTCCGAACCGGGCAAAAATCCCCAAATCGATCCGCCGCGAGAGGAGAGGCGGGCGGCGATGTCGTCGTCGTCGTCGGGGAGGTCGAGCCGGATCGCGGTGGTGACGGAGGACCGGTGCCGGCCCAGCAAGTGCGGCCAGCAGTGCCGCAAGCGCTGCCCCGTCAATGCCACCGGTATTATACATGTTTGTTTGTTTTTCTGTGCTTGTGCCGCCCCGCGATTATTCCAATCCGGTCTTGTTCATGATCTTTGCCCTGGGGTTTTGTGTAGAGGAGCGGCAATTGGTCTAGCTGCCCTGGGGTTTTGGGTAGCGGAGCGGGAATCGCGCTTGGTTCCCCTTTATGGTCTGCATTTAGTTTCAGTCTAGAGCATATTGGCCCAGTTGAGGGAAATAGTTTTAAGGATGCGAATTACGTGTGGCCTTTTGAGGAATTAGGATGAATTGTTTGCTTGTAAAATTGAGATTGCAATAGTTGTGGTGTTAGCCTTGTATGTGAAAAACAAGCCCAAATGTTATTTAACTGCTTGTCCTTTCACCACTACTGAGAATACGTAATAGGCGTCTTACCTATTTTGACAAAAGTATCATATATTATATTTGTGTTTATAGAACAAATATGGTGAGACAACAATACACGCCTGTGAAGATAGAGTATCATATATTATGTGTTTACAAAACAAATGTTGTAAAAACAACCATATGCGCGATCGATATTACCTGCTAGGCTGCTAACTCTGTCCCTTTGTTTTGGGATGTTTGGACTACCCTCCAGCGATGTGTTAATTCTTTAATCTAAATGTGTTGGAACATCTGGAAAGAATATTCCCCCCATTTTAAAATCTAAACAAACTAAAGTAGTACCAGAGACTTCACCATTATGAAATTGTTTGGCACCGATTATTTCTTGTAATATGCACGAATATATATTTCAAAGAGTCCAAATGGCATAAGGGATCCCCCTCTGTTGCAATGCCATATTTTCTAATATCTATCTATATTCATAGATGAAATGAGCTTTATTTCATTCAAATCTGCTCCTACTTCGTGCCGGTAATAATATGCTTTGAATTAGTCATTTCGCAAAGACATCACACATGAATGAAAGCAGTGACATCCTATTACCTGCTCCCAAGAGTAAGTGGGAACTTTCAGAACAATGAAAATCTTATTTTTCATGTGAACATGCTGACCTATATGTCTACTGAAGTTATTGGTTTAGTTATGCCTTCGAGTCACACTTTAATGTAGTTAATTATTTTGGTATTCGATCTTTTTGAGATAAATTTTGAGTTTCTCAGATAAATTCATTCGTACTCTGTACACTAGGATTTATCTTTTGTTGTTCTATATCCATTAATTTTACTGCATCTGTACATTTTCCTTTTGTTGTTCTATATCCATTAATTTTACTGCATATGTACATTTTCCTTTCAGACCAAGGAAAAAGGCTTTTTATTTTGTTGATAGAGAAGATACAAGTATTTGTGCATGTGGCTTATGATTCTTTATCTACATTGACAGGGCGTCAGTGCATAGAAGTTACTCCATCATCGAGAGTATCCTTAATTTCTGAGGAACTATGTATTGGATGTGGTATTTGTGTGAAGGTGTAACTGCTTTTCCGCTTGGCCTTCATTTTTTTGTATTTTCTTTCCAAATGTGCAATATTCTTAGCCTTGCTTCCTTTTTGTTATTATTATTTCAGGTATGTCCCTTTGATGCTATCCAGATTATAAACTTGCCAAGTGATCTTGACAAGGAGACGACACATCGCTATGGACCAAATTCATTTAAGCTTCACAGGTACAAAATCCTATTTTTAATACTGGCCACCTAGCTTTCTTTGAGCTGTATTTGATTTTTTTAACTTTTTACACTATTGTATTAGCTTAATGTTGTTTCCATGAAACTATTACCGATACACAATGGTACGATGCTTCTCACACATAACTACCTTCCTGAAACTTGATTTGATTTTTTTTTTAAGGCTGCCTGTTCCAAGACCAGGGCAAGTGTTGGGCTTGGTAGGGACAAATGGTATTGGTAAATCAACGGCACTTAAAATTTTGGCAGGGAAGGTGAAACCCAACTTGGGTAAATTCACAGTAAGCAACACAGAGCACTATTTGTTATACGTACTTGTTAATGGAAGTAATTGTAGGTTATGAAACTTTTTATTGTGTTTGCAGGATCCCCCAAATTGGGATGAAATTATGAGGAATTTCCGTGGATCTGAACTCCAGAAATACTTTACTCGTCTGCTGGAAGACAAAATGAAGGTACATTACAGAATTTATCAGAAAATTTCCCCTACAGATGTAAAATTACAATGTTCTGTTTTCTGGTGCATATATGGTTATTACCTGTTCCCTCATTTGACTTATCGTTTATCAATCATATATATTTGACTAAGTTTGGAACGCGTTAGATGGAATTTGAATATAGTTGGAATGCAGATGTAATGTAACTATTTAGGATATTTCCCTTAAACATGTTCAGTTCTAGAATTTGTTTCTTAGTCACATATCATCCAAATTATTCATTGCTCTGATGATCATGGTTCAAGTATTTAAATCATTTCAGTTATCCAGAAGCTAAATACTGACGTGGAAGATTTAACTGCCTTTTAACTTGCTTTATAGTTGTACTTACATAGTAATGGTCAGATTTGTTACTGTGACACATTCTGTCTAATGCGTTCTAATTGGTTACAGGCAACTATGAAACCACAATACCTTGATCACATTCCTAAATCTGTTACAGGGAAGGTTGGAGATCTTCTTAGCAAGAAAGATGAGAGACATATGAAAAACCTACTGTGTGATACTCTCGAGTTGAATCAAGTTCTTGACCGAGATGTCTCAGCTCTATCTGGTGGTGAACTCCAGAGATTTGCAATAGCTGCCCGTGCTATGGAAGAAGCAGATGTTTATATGTTTGATGAGCCATCCTGCTATCTTGATGTGAAGCAAAGGCTGAAAGCTGCACAAGTTATTCGCTCTTTGCTTCAGCCCAAAAAGTAAGAAGAGTCCCATTTGACCAAATCAGAACATTTAAACTGCACACTTTGCATTTGACAAGCAAGTTTTCCTTTATTTTTTGCAGCTATGTAATTGTTGTGGAGCATGATCTTAGCATACTGGACTACCTATCAGACTATATATGCTGTCTTTATGGGACTCCTGGAGCATATGGTGTTGTTACTTTGCCCTCTTCTGTTAGAGAAGGAATCAACATTTTCCTGGATGGCTTTATACCAACAGAAAACCTACGTTTCCGCGAGGAGAAACTTACATTTAGAGTAAGGGCTATGATTATGAGCACCATAACTTCAATTCTTATGTGTTCTGACTCTAATGCAATGCTATTTGCTTCCTTAGGTTACCGAGTCTACTGAGGAAATCGTAGAGGGTCAGACATACCAATGCTACCGATATCCTACAATGACAAAGACAAGGTGTGGCTTTAAGCTATCAGTCACTGAAGGCAGCTTTAATGATTCCCAGATAATTGTAATGCTTGGTGAGAATGGTACTGGGAAGACGACATTTATCCGTATGCTGGTACACACCTTATTTTTGTCAAATATATTTTGCAGTAATACGAACATCTCTACTTTTGATTATAACCCTCAAGATTGTTCTTATCTGAATTTCAGGCAGGACGAGTGAAGCCAGACAAAGTAGGAGACGAAGAAGTTGACGTGCCTGAATACACTGTCTCATACAAGCCTCAGGAATTGATATCTAAATATAGCTCTACAGTGAGGGATCTTCTATTCGAGAAAGTACCTGGATCATGCACTCAAGCCCAGTTCAGATCTGATGTCATGAAACCACTGAAAATTGAGCAACTCATGGACAGGCAGGTTCCAACTCTTTCTGGAGGGGAGCTGCAAAGGGTTGCGCTTTGTCTTTGTCTTGGGAAGGTAATAACTTTGGATTACCCCGCTACAGTCTCTTTTCAAATCATTGTTGTGGGTAGAAAAGTTCCTTATGTATTTTAAGCCCTTCAGATGTTAGACAAAAATACCTTGTTTGCATTAACCCAATGCTTTATTTTGAGAAGAAACCAGGACCTTTATATCTCAAAAATTCATTTAGGCTGTATAGCGCTTGTTTCTCAAGGAAAGAAGATCTGTGCACTACTACAGACTCTGCAAAATCAACTATCTTTCATTCGCTAAATTCTTTTTCCACATCAATCATATCTAAGTGCTTATGCTGTTCCATATACTTTTGTGGACGAAAATTAATTAATCACACCAACAATAGGAGGGCAAGTTTACTTTGCTACTTTTATGGTGAACTTTACAGTATGTTTTAAACTTTGAAGCATAGACTATGTGTTGCACTATTTCTGTGTCCTCCTGACCAAACTCTCCCACAAGCATCAGTGATGAGTTTATTATTCATCAATATCTCTACAACTTAGGTGGGAAAATAGTTTGACAATACTGATTCGCAATACCTAGAATTGCATATTATATTTTGTGGATTGTTGGTACATTTTTCTTCTCCATTTTTCCTTCGAGGAAACTAGATGAGCCATAATAGTATATAATTATATTATTTTTAAACAACACTGCAGCATATTTGTCTAGGCTATGAAGCTGACACATATTTCTTTAACTATTGTAAGAACGTTCTCAGCTTTTGACAGCAGATTAAGGAGAAAAGAGAACAACTACCAGTACATTCTTTCTATTAAACATGTTTATTGTTAATGATGCATATAGATTGTAATTTGAACCATGAATCCCTAGTTAGAAAAGTTTATGCTCAAGGAATATAGTCTATATAACTATTGGTCATCTCGACAGTGCATCAATAAGTATTGATTTTTACATGGCATTTGGTTTGCAGCCTGCTGATATTTACCTCATAGATGAACCAAGTGCCCATCTTGATTCAGAGCAGCGCCTTCTTGCAGCGAAGGTCATAAAAAGATTTATCCTCCATGAAAAGAAAACTGCTTTTGTTGTTGAGCATGATTTTATCATGGCAACCTACCTTGCTGATAAGGTGGTGGTTTTTGAGGGAAAACCTTCTGTTGACTGTATTGCAAATGCACCAGAACCCCTGGCCTCTGGGATGAACCGTTTTCTTTCGGTAAGTTCAAATTCCTCTTTCTACTGCCTCCTGCGTTATATCAAGTGAGGATAGTGGATAGCCCTGAATTTTCATGCAAAGGTTTCCTGAAAATAACATGGACACAGTCAGAATGTTGCTTTTTTAGAGGATCAAGTGATAAGTACTGAATATTTCCGACAGATAATAAGCATTTTAATGGAAAGTGCTTGAATTTACTTTCTCTGTGTTCAACAGCATCTTGATGTCACATTTAGGAAAGATCCTACAACCTACAGGCCTAGGATCAACAAGCTAGGCTCTATAAAGGATGCTGAGCAGAAAGCTGCAGGATGTTACTACTACCTTGAGTATTAACGTAAGATAAAATTCTCCCTTTCTCTATGTTAGTCATCTAACAACACTGCAATAGCATGTCGTTCATGTACTTTTCCTTGTGTTCACAGAAAGCTTTCGCAAGGGGCAACTCTACTTCTGCAAAAGCTCCTTCGGAGCAGAACAGCTCGGCTCGCGTTATCATGCACATACTTGCACGCATACATGAGTCTGCCAGTGCTCTCGGAATGTCTTTGCACTGCTTTCCAATAAGCAATATAGTAGATGCTCTTTGATGTTTAAATTGACATGCAGATTGGTCATCTATCTTTACAGGAATGTTTTGGCACGGCACCAGGGTATGCCCCGGAACTTCGTGGGCAGGATCGATTTGAAATGACATCTGAAATCTAAGCACAAGCACTATATATAGCATGGGAGGTAAGTTTCTACTCATTTGCATTAGGAACTGCATTAATTGGGATAATTTCACCAAATATCCCCTGCTCTCTGTAGGTTGGGTTGATGAAATTTTATGAAGATCGGGGTGAAGCTATTGCCTGAATTGGACGGGGTTTGAACAAGTGATCAAATCAGGGTTGAATTGTATTTTTGAAGCCGTCGAGAAAATGCAAGTTGTTATCGCAGTCTGCAGTTAAATGCACGTTTCAGTGACTTCTTATTAGTCTATTGTTGGATTAATTAGTATCGTTTATGGCTTTTATGCTAAAAATATATCTTGAATTGTGATTTTGGTATTGTGCTTGCTTGGTATTTTCGTTTCACCAAGTAGTACTCTGTTTGCGTTGTAGAACAGAGACAGACGAATAAATATCGTGCTTTGATTGGTTTTATTTTGTCCATCTGCTATCATGCCAAACTCTCAGACATGGTTATGCAAAAACAGCAGCTGGTTATCTTTTATCATCATGCGGCCGGCATATTCCTAAAATTGATCTAATAAAGTGCATTCGTGCAGAGATGCTACAACACTAAACTGTAACCAATGGCGGAGCCAGGATTTCAAAGTTGGTTATTCCCGTCTAAAAAAAAAGTTCATAGTAAAAAAAAATCAATGGTTCACAGTATGTCAATATCGATAATCGAAGAAATAAAACTATAAATTATTACACGGTACCTCTAATTTTCTATTTCGGTTCCTTCATGGCTTGGAAGAGTAGTTTTAATTCTGCGTTCCTTCATGGCTTGAAAGCGGTTTATCATATCACAGTCCTTGACTTTCGAAAACATCTCACGCTCAATAAATGTGACCAAGCAATCATTCAAGTATTGATCCCCCAGCCTGTTTCTCAATTTATTCTTCACATAATTCATGGCAGAAAAGATTATTTCAACACTAGCTGTTACTAATGTAAGTTCTAGAACCAATTTGAGAAGCTTCTAAACAATCTCATGTCTATTGTGTAACTTTGTTTCAACAATCATAATGGAAAGATCAGCAAGATTTTTCACTTTCTAAACCTTTCATCTATACACATCTTAGTGAGGAAGAGTACTTGGCTAACTAATATGTGTACATGTGTATATGTTGAAGTATACTTGTTTCTTGATAAAAAAAGTTAGGTATTCCTGAGAATACATAGGAATCATTGTAGCTCCGCCCCGACTGTAACAACAATAAGATCACACTATATGTTTGCTTTCTTATCTGGCTGCCCTAAATTCTGAATTTAAACAATAATAGTCATAAGACTCGTACATGTTTTTCTTTTCATGAACATAATACATTTTTTAGGTGAATGTTAAGAGAACTGAGTTAAATCAAAATATCTTAGGACATATTCTGTTCTCTGCATCTCTCTAGCTTGACTCATCTCCCTCGTTCATACTGAACTTGGCCAGACTAAGGAAAGACATATGAAGCTGTTTGGTTGCCTGTATTGGATGAGTCTGCATATGGTTAGATGTTGTTGGTTGCAGCAAAGGTAGAGGGAAAGACATACCTGCTGACCTGCATGTAGGAGATGTTGGTTGTATTGATACATTTGGAGTGTAGATAACTTCTCTTGTGGTGGAAGGTTACACCGTGAAGTTTGTGGATGAAAATTTATCCCTAAATCAGTTTATGGGTAGTGATGTTACTCCATCATGGAGATTACAGATTAGATTTTTGTTTTGAGTATGTGGCCATCTAATTTTTGCACACTCACTTTTTCACTGTTTTATTTAAAGAACACATGCACTTTGCATGTTACTGTATCTCAATGTGTTTTCTTGTCTGGCTAGCTCAAACAAAACGTTATGTGATTACTATAACCAAATACATATACATGATCTCATTCAATATGCTTGTATATTTGACAATTTAAAATAACCATATGGGTATGCATATCATTGGCAAGTTTTCCACAATAAGGAACCAATCAGATAAACATGTAGTTAAATACATATACGAGATTAAACCAACTATGTCATCTGCGTCCTGTTTATTAGCTTTGTATAGACATCTTCAAACTCATGAGCCCTGTAAGGAACAATGTATAAGTAGCATGATCTCAAATTTGTAGCAAGGTTGTGCATTACTTTATCATCACTTGCATTAGGGTACAAGGAGATACCAAAATGCAAGCTAAAACTAACTGATTTCGTTTCCTGGCCAAATCGAAATATATACCAAGATCATGTGTATATTTGTCGCTATCAATTAAAACAATGAAGGAAAAGGCAACAAGCCAACAACAGAGAAGGATGTTAAATCAGCATAGTGCAATCATCACTGGCATTTTCTCACTGGAGGAGATGTGATAAATATCTAATCATATCAGTCCACGTATCAGACTTGAACATAACATATCAGAGGAAGTGGTTGTTTAGTTGCCCAACCATAATGGAAAAAAAACAAGTGTAGTATCTAGTCACATCAGTGTAAAAGAGTTGGCACAAAGAACTATACAAAATTCAGGAAAAATGAACAGAGAGCAAGTGAATATATGTTCATACCATCGCAAACAGAGAGCAAGCTTAATGGGTATTTTGAACCTTGAGTTTTCAGTGCATCCTCCGACAATATCAACGTTATTATACCAGACATCATAGTTGCAATGGCTATTAATCCCACGAATCGCGATATAGCAAGAAGTATCTTGTAGAGAAATATCTTTCCGATGACACCTGAACCATCGATAAAAAAAAACCTAGCTCTTCTTATTAACTACATGATCTCATCAAATTTTGTACATTGCTCATCATTATGTTCTTGAAAAATTTACTTGATTGACAAGAACAAATAAATGCATCAAGAAATTATTGGTAAATAGGATAATAAAATTTAATAAAAATAAAACATACCGGTATAAAAATAATCTCACCTCGGAAAGGCCATAATGTTATGATATACTTCCCTATTGAATGAAGCAAATGATGTACTTCCTCCATCCTAAAATATAGCTACCTAGTACCAGATGTGACATTACCTATTACTATGAATCTGGACAGACTGTCCAGATTCGTAGTAATAGGTAATGTCACATCCTGTATTTTGGGACAGAGGTACGTAGTATGTCTCTAAGCACTATCTGCTATACTAGGTTGGTGTTATTGTAGTTGTAATCTCCAGATATTAAATCCTTGTGCTTGTCCCATAGTGCACGAATATTTGTGGTCTCATAAAATACTTGTGTAGTCGCAAATAACCAACGTAGAGCAACTAGCATTTTGGCAGTCATGTCCGTCTTCATAAGCTCGCTCTTCTCGCATGCATTCCTAAAGGTAAAGTATGTGAAACCAGATATTGTTCTCAAATCCTCATATGAGGTTGCACCTCTCACATGTTCAAAAGCACTCCTAATTAAGTAGTTCTCTCTCCTTTTATAGGGTACACATACACAATCAAGTCCAACATTACCTTTCTTATTTTTCTTTTTATCCATACTTTTTTACCTTGGTCCACCAATATTCTTCTGGGAAACTCCTTGGATAATAAGGAAACTTACATCCGGATCTATGCGATTCATTTCGAAATACTTAATAAGTGTTGTTATAGGAGATGGCCTGCTGACAACATTCTCAAGATTACCAAAACCATCATAGGTAACATAATGCATGTTAGGCAAATGAAGTTGGAGCTGAGAAACAACTAGATAGATACCGAACAGGGGGAAACTAATAATATTGTACATACTTATAGTTCACATTGGTGATACGCCTCTAGCATCCCTATATTGATGAATTTCATAGATTCCCTTAGCCGAGTCGACCGAGAACAATATATAGTCATGACCTTTATATACATACTTATATAACTTCATAGATTTTATTCTTGAGCAAGCTTCAACATTGATATGACAATTATATCACATAAGCAGTCAAGGATTGTATGGGACCACCCACTTGTTGTCTAACCTTGCACCTCTGATCTTAACACAATGTCCATCATCTCTCCTCATGTATAAAGAGTATGTGTCGTTTCCTTGTGTTGATAGAATTGTCAATGATAGTGAAAGCAACGCTCTTCGTCGACCATGCAAGCACACTTTTTATTTAGTTCATCACATGGTAATGCGCATATGCTTGATGACTAGATGATGCAATATAGGGTTATTATCTTTGTATGTTATCTCTGCGCAAATTACTTTATCATATCTATCTAGGAGTATTAACTATTGTCTGGCTTCATGATCAATATGATATGTTAATATGGTAAGGCCCTCTTTTAAAACTTGGTAACATGAGCGTACGCTTAAACTTCTCCGAAATATATTTTTTGCCCAAGTGCCATATCTGTGAAGTACCTATACAAGTTCGTACATAAAGGCCATGATAATGCGTCACCCGTCGATCCTAAATAGCAAATCAATTAAAATTAGTTAGTACGAGCATGCTAGATACATATCACCACTATGTATATGTATATGTATATAGGGATGCACTAAACCGCGCCTGGGGTGCACGATAACTAAAATGCTCCCCTCACATAGACCCCCCCTCCCCCAGGCACGCCACGCACAAACACAACCAACACAGAAGTTGCAACGCGGTAACAGTGATAGGTTACATAGAGCAACTATATTACATTCAATATTAGTAGGTTCGATGAGTAACTCAATTACTCTATTTTGATTGGCCCCGCACAAAAAAATGCGGTACAGTTGAAGCTGCAGTTATACTTTTGAAGGTGCAGTTGAGTAATTAAATTACTATGAGTATGCCTAGTTTCGATACGAGCAACAAAGTTACTAATTGTTGTTTGTAACATATAGGATGTTAAAATATAAAAGTAATGTGTGTGAGAGCAATCATAGGATGTTGTGCATTTTTTTTCTGAATTTTTTTCCATGAAATAAAGGGATATCGTGAGCGGTAGTTAAGCCCTAGGTATTGATCGATTGATCACGTGTACTCCTGGATCCGGAATAACCACCTTCCGTACTGTGTAGAGGAGGAAGGTGGTTCCACACAGTGGACTCACCTTTGCATACCTAAAATCTATCATGTCTAGCGCAAATGCATCGCCGGTAATCCCAAGAATAGAGTCGCTGATACCATCTTTTGCTTCTTCCCCATTATCCAGATCAAGAGTTGGCGGTGATCATCCCGGGAGTCATCATGCAAATGTCAGGAATCCTAGCAGTACATCAGCGTCGCCAGGATCCCCAACTGGAGTGGTTTAGCTTCCATGCGTTGACTCATGACGCCTGACAAGGATGTTCTGTACACACATGTAAGTTTTCCTGAACGACAAATGAATTACTTTGAACTACTTTTCCATGTTTAACTGATTAATGATGTATTGGACAATAGTTGGCGTTGTATTGCGGAAGATTACAATTTTATACTTTCTAAATTTTCTATATGTCCAATTTCCAATTATGGTCATGTTGATGGAAGAAAAAAAATTGATTAGAGGGTCCCCATGTTAGAGAGGAAATGGTCCCAAAAGTAGGAATGGTTTTTGGGTCGTATGAAAAGGTGTGTACTTTTTGGGTCGTATGAAAAGGCATACAATTGTTACGAGAGATACTCCTACCATGCTGGTTTTGATTTGAAAAATAAGCCGCAAGAAACCTAGTTTCAGAGAGATTTGCTGCACCCGCGACAGGAAGAACAAATATGTTGAGATGAATCAAAGAGTGAGCGTAGGTGGGTTGCAGTTAGGTTTTTTTTTTTTTTTGCATATGTTAAGGTGATGAATTTTATTTAATGACATCTTCATTACAATTCATCTAAAAAAATTCCTCACCTTAACATATGCCTACGCTCAAAAAAAAAATCCTAACTGAAACCCGCCTACGCTCACTTTTTGATTCATCTCAACATATTTGTTCTTCCCCTCACAGGTGCAACAAATCTCTCTCTGTAACTAGGTTTCATGCGGCTTTTTTTCAAATCAAAACCAGCATGGTAGGAGTATCTATCGTAAAAATTGTATGTCTCTCCATACGACCCAAAAACCATTCCTACTTTTGGGACCATTTCCTCTCTAACATGGGGACCCTCTAATCAACTTTTTTCTTCCATTAACATGACCATAATTGGAAATTGCAGACAAAGAAAATTTGGAAAGTATAAAATTGTAATATTCTGCAATGCAACGTCAACTACTGTCCGATACATCATTCATTAGTTAAACATGGAAAAGTAGTTCAAAGTAATTCACTCATCGTTCAGGAATACATACACGAGTGTACGGAACATCCTTATCAGGCGTATTCATGGCACATGAGTCAACGCACGGAGGCCGAACCCCTCTAATTGGGGATCCTGGCGATGCTGATGTACTTCCAGGCTGCCCGACAGTCGCATGATGACTCCCGGGATGATCACCGCCAACTCTTAATCTGGATGATGAGGAAGAAGAAGAAGATGGTATCAGCGACTCCATTCTTTGGGTTACCGGCGAAGCATTTGCACTAGAAAGGGTGGATTTCAGATATGCAAAGGTGAGTCCACTGTGTGGAAGGAACCACCCTCCTCCTCTACATAGTACGGAAGCCGGTTATTCCGGATCCAGGAGTACACTTTATCAATCAATCAATACCTAGACCTGAACTACCACCCATGATATCCCTTTACTTCAGGGGAAAAAAATCCACAAAAAAAAGGCACAACATCCTATGACTAGGGATGGCAGTTTTGCTTATTTGCCTGTTTACCCACGGGTAAAAACCCTAATAGAGTTGGGTTTGTTCTCCATTTAGTATCCATGGGTTTTTTATTGGGTTAAAACCTGTACCCAGCGGGCACACAGGCACGAGCATGGGTAGTCAGCTTCGCCCGTTTACCCGCGAAACCAACTTACATGTGGGCCCTCAGTCAACTTAGTATAAAAATCACCATCTAAAATCTTTAGGGTTTCTCTCCCTCCTCCCACTCCCAGCTGCCTCTCCTCGCATCTCCTCGACTCCTCCTCCCAGCCGCCTCGGTCTCCGCTGGTGCCCCCACCCCAGCCAGCCAGTTGTCGCCGTGAGGGGACGGGAGAGGCTTGCCGCATGGCCGCAGGAGGGGACGGGAGGGGCTAGCCAGTGGCCAGAGGGGACAGGAGGGGCTTCACCTCGGGAGGAAGCTGCGGCCGCCGTCTGCGCCGAGCTCCCCACCGGTCGGTCGTCGACTTCCTCTAGCCGGGCCCGCTTTGTCTGCGGCCGCTGTCGCCGCCGCCTCCTGCCTCCACTGTGCCGAGCCACGGAGGTCCCCCCTCCCCCCGGTCGCTGCCGCCTCCGGTCCTCCAGCCCTCCGGTCGTCGGCAAGGTATTGCCCTTCTTTTCCCCATCTATTCCCCTTCTCTCCTCTAGATTTAGGTATCTATTTTCTCGATCTAGTCTCTCTTGATTTTGTTCTGTTATTTGTGATTTGATTGCTAGTGATTTGAACTAATGGTAACTCCGGCAAGCAGCAGCAAGCATGCAAGTACTCCGGCCAGTAGCAGCCGGCGTTTGAAGTTTGTTTATTGTGCTAAACTATGTCATTTGAAGTTGTGATTGATGAACTTGTAATGCTTGTATTGAACTTGGTACAACTGTACCCTTTCTTTAAATTGTAATATTGTCTTTACTTGTGGGAATTATGGTTGAACTGATATAATTGGACAGGTAAACGGGCATGCCCGCCGTCACATGGCACCCGCGGGCGATGGGCATGGAAAGTACTCCTTGCCCGTCATGTAGTAACGGGCATAAATTACCTTGCGGGCACGGGCATGGGCAGTCACTACCCGTGCCCGTCGTGCCCGACTGCCATCCCTACCTATGACTGCTCTCACACACGTTACTTTTATATTTTAGTAAAATAATTATTTAGAATACAAACTACTATCTTTATCTTTAATCGTAGTTTAGCGCATCCCTATCTTTATCTTTACCTACTTAAAAGATTCGTAGTGTTTCTACCGCCCCACCTAGCATACCTGTTTTCGTCGTCCCACCTAACATAACATGTGACGTCCCTTCCGTGCGACATCAATCAAGCCCAAGTCTTGTTACATGTGATAGCACAGAAATATAAAATCAGAAATATAGTCTAACTTCTCGCCTAGCCAAAGACACAAAACTTCCTATTTCAATTTATAGAGCCACAGTGCGATCTGTACGAGACCGGTTAGAGTCCCTTGCATGCTCAATTATTCTCAAACCATGTTTGATTCGTTTCGGACTCTTCATGCAAGAGCGGGAAGGAGAGATAGCAAGCATGTGTCCTTGCATCGAATCGAATGATCATGCATGATGTGACCTTGTGTTACATGCATACGAGAGATCAGAGGTGAACAATAGCAGTGAAAATTAAGAGATGCTAAATTCCGGTATGTTGCTTTCTTACTTTTTTCCCTCTAATTCTAATAGAGTTTTTTTTTCTTCATTTCATTTTCCAGATCATCGAGTTTTTTTTCCAAAGAAAAATTGATTTGTATGAATATTAATTTTATGTGATATTTGTTCTATTTGATTTAGTAGATTTTACAAGCCTCTCTCCCACTAAGCCCTCTCTCCCGTCCACTCTCCCTCACGACGCCGGCGGCGGGCTCGCGTGATGGCGGCGCGCTCGGGTGAAGATTCGGAGTAGAAAAGTAGTGTTTTGTAATTTTCTACCTACTATCTATTGTAAGATATTCGAATGATTAATTGATTATGTTCTAACTTTCGTAACTTCAAACTTAAATGTTGGTTTTAAGCAAGCTGTGATGTTGTGAGATATATTGCTACATTTCAATTATATTTTTTTACTTTTTTTTGGCACATTTGGCTTGAATATGCGATATTTGGCTTGAATTCACAACTGAAGACGCCCGCTCCTGATCAAGTTACAGGAGACAGATCGAGCAGCGACGACCGAACGATTGTCATACCGGAGGGAAACAAAGGGGTTCATATGAGGTATGAAGTGTGAGGAATAGTTTAGTTCTGGGAGATAGCATAACAAAAGAGAATTATAATTTTGTACTACTTTATTCACTAAAAGTGGAATGGAATAGAGTTCTCTCTTCTTAAATACTGTCTCCCTACAGGCTAAAGAGTAAAGACTAGATTGAAGAAGCACATCAGAGAAAGGCAACCTTTTATTCACACGAATCTCGCGATAAACCGGTTCGTCAAGTGGTTCCTCGATCCTCCTCCGCCGTGACGCCGTCGCCGCGCACGTGCTGCTCCTTCCTCCGCCAAGGATCGCGATTTGCCGGTGGGAGTTGGGACGGCACTCGCGGCTCAATCAGGCGAGGCGGTGAGGGCTTTTCATAGGGAGAGGGGGATGATCAGTGCGTCGTTGGATCCAAAACGTAGATGGTTTTTGGACCGTCGGATTATTTCTTCGCGACTTGGGCCAACGTCGGATTGCTTAACTTACTTGGGCCGTCCCGTCATATCCGAGCCCAACCCGAATCGTCACCTACTTCAACCGCGTCGAGGAGTCTGTCGTCGCCGCCGAGGGGAATAAGTTCACCGGCCGTGTGTCAACTTTACACCGAGATTTTTTTAGATCCCTTAACCACAAAATCAGAAATATGTATCCCTAAATTATGTAAAACCGTGCATAAAATATCCCAAGACAGTATATATGGGTGGTTTCGCTGACTTGGCATCCTAGTTAGAAAAAAAAATAAAAATGTGTGTGGGGCCCACATGTGAGAGAAAACGGTGTGGGCCCCACATCTCTCCTTCTCTTTTTCTCTTATCATCTCCTTGTTCTCTCCGGCGCAGCTGCAGATGAGAGAGAGCGTGGCCTGCCAGTGGCGATAGAGGGGGAGAGAGGGGACCGACGGCGGAGCGGGGACGGAGGCGGCGGGAGAGGGAGAGAGAGACGCCGAGCGATGGAGCGGGGGCGGCGGGAGAGGGGGAGATAGGCGGCCGGCGCGACGGCGACGGAGGGAGCTGCTCGCCGATGCACTGCCGCATCGGCAATGGTGGGTCGTTGGGATTCCAGCCGTCCGGCGCGTCGTCGCCATCGATGGGGTCATCGTCGGTGTCGTGAGCAGGTGGTTCGCACATCCTCGTCGTCGATGGGGTCATCGTCGGCCCGACAGCGGCGCCGGTCGTCGGCGCTGCCGACTCCGCCCCACCACGCCGCCTCCGACTCCGCCCCACCACCCGTCGCCTCTGCTCCTCTTCACCATGCCAGATCCGGTGGGCCGCGCCGTCAACTCTGCCCCATGGCACCGCCGACGACTCTGGTGGGCTGCGCCATCGACTCTGCCCCAGGCGCATCACGACTGCTAACCGCGTGCACGTGCTCGCGGGCGGCGTCGGCGTCCATGGACGTGGAGCCTTGCCTAGACGACGCTCTCGGCCACTCCTTCTGCTACGCCGCCGCCGCCACAGCCAATGCGCACTCCTTGTCGTTCCGCCACGCATCTCCGGTGCCACGCTCTCCGCCGACCGCCTCTCCCCCATCTGCAGTTGCGCCGGAGAGAACAAGGAGAGAAGAGAAGAGAAAAAGAAAAGAGACATTTATGTGGGCCCACGTGCTTTTTTAATTTCTTTTTTGCTGACGTGGCATCCTAGTTTAAGGGTTTAGAGGTTTTAATATTTTTTACTGCCTTAGGACACATTTCTAATATTTTTTAGGGGTACACATTTCTAATTTTATGGTTTATGTAAAGTTGAGGGACAGCCGGTGAACTTATTCCCCGTCGAGGGCGCCGCCGTGCAGGGGATCCGCGACCCAGATCCTCGACCGGCGGACGCCTCCTCGACACCGAGCAGCTCTTCCGCCGCGGCGGGGAGAAGACAAAGAAGTGGCCCGTACTCATCCCCGAGGAGGAGCTCGCCATGTCGTTCCCGGGCATCAAGGTTCGCTACTTGTCTTCTTTTGCTTATGTGTTCCTTTCGTCGAACACCTTGCCTGCGTGCGCGTTTCCTGCTACTTTGGGTTCATTAACCAAATATTGCGACTCCGGGTCCCGTTGTTTTTCTTGATCAGTCGTGCATCTTGTGCATGTTAGCAATGTGCCTTTACGGTGATAATATAGTTTTTTTTAATTACTGCTCATTTCATCTAACACCTTGTGGTGTTCTTTTCTCCCGAGATGAAAATAAAAATTAAGTTTTTTTTACGTAAAACGAGGTTGTATTAACATATGACTGATTAAGTTTTAATTATTATGAACTTAAAAAATAGATTAATATGATTTTTTAGAGTAACTTTCATATAGAAAGTTTTCGCACGAAACATACCGTTTAACAGTTTGAAAAGCATGCCACAAAAATACAAAATTTCATCCAATTCTTGTGGAGAAATGAACTTTCACAACTCACCACCCCATAAGGCTCATAGAGCAGTATACAGCGAATCAGTGCAGAATATACATTTAGACTCACCTACGTCATGAAACATTCACTTTGGAGACATGTATAAACTTTTTTTCATCCAAGGCTTGTAGATGAGAGGTCTGTTAAGGTATGGGATTCCCTTATTTTCATCCAAATGCCGATAATACGACGTATTATGAAAATAATAATAATTTATAGGTAAAATTTGTATATAGGTCGTTCCGGACGATTAAATCTTAATATAAAAAATAAAATTTGATGAAAAAAAATCAAAATCAACTTTAAAATTTGTAAAATTATAAATTTTGAAAATTAGAATTTGGGTGCGGCTGTCGCTGTACAGAGGGAATGTTGGTGGCCTGACATAATTTCAGGGTACCCCACTTTGTGGAGTGTCCGTGTCTCCCCGAAATCCCCGTCCCCGGCCGCGGCCGTCTCTCCCCGCTGCTGTACTTCGCCGCCGCCGCCGTGCCAACTCTGACTGCGTTTCCGAGACGGTGAGGAGGCTGCTGCTGCTGCTGCTGTTCTCGCGACCGACCGAGAGGCTTCTCCTCCTCCTCCTCTGCCCTACGCCGCCACGCGCTCGCTCGATCGAGCCGCTCCACGCCGCCGTCGTCGGCAGCGGCCCCGCCGCCGTTGGGTTCGACATGGCCGTAAGGTGCGTGCCCCATGGTTAATTAAACTCTCGTTGTAACCTTGTAGTTATAGGGTGTGTAATAATGGAGTAGTTGCGAAAAAACTGAAGTGAAAATCCGCATCTAGTCTCCTTTTGAAGAGACGGACGTGATTGTGGAATCATTTAGTTTGATTGTGCACGCATATGTTAAATGTCAAATGCGATGCGAATCTGGTGGAAATATAATATTTTGTGCGACTTGCGGATCAAATGCTCAATCATGTTCTGTTATCAATGCACCTGAAATCTTCCATTGCATATGTTACAACTGATTAAGGGGAAAAAAACATGAACAGGCAATAAAATTGGTACGAATTAATGCTTATCTTGGAAAGCTATTTGGTCCTTTCCACATTTCCGTTGTGCTTATCGGGTGTTCGTTTGGTGGATTCTGCAGATGCTTAATTTAAGGTTCATGAAGGAGCACAAGTCGATACTATTAGTGATAAGCTGCCAACACATTCCAGCTTAGTCCGTTCTGAAGTGGCTCCATATCATCCATAAATAAATGTGAGCATTCTCATTAGTTTTTTTATCATCAAACGTCAGCCATAAAGAAAACAACAGTCTCCATGTGTTGAGATCAACCAGGTGGAGTTTATACCAAATCCAGTGGATCCACATGCACGTATGTATATATGCTCCTAGAATTTAAATGTGTTTTTGACAAGTTTGCTATATGTTCCTTTGGCAGCCAAAGGAAGCTAAGAATGCACCCAAGAACACCTTACCCAAGTACATCCCATAGAATTTAGGGACCATTCACTTATTAGTCAAACTGATATACTGAAAGGTGAATAACTAACGTGTAGAAAAAAAAAGGCAAAGGAGCACAGCAAAATGACACAGATCATACGCTTTTACTACCAAAAAAAAACATAGAGCATATATTGTCACTCGAAGGTTCTAGTATGAGCTTAACAAGATCGCATCCAAAAACATCACAAATGAAATTGTAATTTATACAACCTTTTGAGCACAATCAAATCATGCACACATCTTAACAGAGAGGTTCTCATGGTATGTATCTCTCTCCCCACTTATTTGGCACAAAAACAGGAATTTCCAACACACTTGTCGCATAATCAAGTGCAATACCTTTCAGACGCATTATGCCTGCCCAGTAAATTTCTTGATAAGAAGAAGTCATCTTATGCGGAAACAGGACAACAGAGTATAAGAAAATATGGATGGCGAGATTCTGCTATAGAAGTGCCGGTAGCTCTCCAACAGTCATGCATCTATTAGCTCCATCTCGCCAGTTGCTCCATCCTCCATTATTAAAAAGATAACTTTAATCAGTACAGTGCACTCAATAGAAAAAAAAAGAATGTTTTAAACTTCACAATATATTCTGGCAGCAGTTGGGTAGAGTGTAAGTCTTATTTGCTGTTTAAATTTTAATCTATGTCAGGATACAAGTTCTTTTGCTTATTAAATTTTAAACTGTCTAAAGCATATGTAATTACTACAGGTTAAGGATGTACTGTAACCGGCTAAGGTTTGGAAGCAACTAATTAATGGAAACAGTATGTACAGAAAGTTGTGCTTGTGCAGGTAGCTGATGATGATATATACTCATATAGGATGCAAACTAGTTCAGGACACAATGGTTTCTTCTAGGTCAGGTAGAAAAAGAAAATCTTGGTAAGAGCTGGAAGGGAAATTTTTGGATTTATCACATACATACCATAAAGACTCAGAGACTGAATCCTTTAACTTTCATATCACATACATATCATGAAATCTACAGGCCACCTCTGCTCATTGGTTGCTATATTTCCTGCAACTTTGGACAGTTTTCTATCTTCACCTTGTTTATTTTCACAATTGCATCTGCTCCACCAATTGATACAAGGTCACTACAATTGAAAATACGCAAATCCTGGAGTGATGAGAGATTGCTGCTCCATAGTGAACTGGGAATGTATTGTACATGTTGGCAAGAGTTAATCAGCAGGCGCACCAAGGAGGCAAGGTTCTCCAGGCAACTGGGAACCCAGGGAGAGATATCCCCACAATAACTTAAGCAGAGGCTTTGGAGGGTCGATGGTAAAACAAGTCCCTTCCATTTGAGTTTTCCACAATAAGAAATACGCAGATGCTTTAGAGCTGAGAAATTCCCAAATCTTTCACCTGGCAGGGACGATAGCTTGACACAAGAGCTAACATCAATTTTCTCAATAGCAGGAAGATACTCAGGCGTTACGAGGTCATCAATGCTTGTCAGCTTTTCGCAGCCACAAATTTCTAGGGAAATAAGGGATGCGAATGTTGTAGTGCTGCAACTGTCTCTTTGAGGACGATTGCCAGTGAAGACTGATTCCCCAATAAATTCAAGGTTCGCACAGCTATAAATTTTTAATCGAAGTAGAGCTGGAAGGTTACTGCACCACACTCGTAGTGGAATGGACGTTACAGGCAAGACGACTAAGAACATGTTGGTAAGGGAGGGGAACTCAAAAAAGCATGGGAGGTCCCCAGAATTGCATAGCTTGAGCTCCTTGAGAGTGCGCATGGACAGACTTTCTGAAGCATTGAATATCTGGTAACCAGCCACGTCCAATTCTTCGAGGCAATCAAATTTACCAATTGGTAGAGGCAATACCTTTGTCTTTGTGTATGTTAATCTTTGTAATGTGATTCGCTTGATAGCCGGTATACAAGCTGGTTGTATAAATTTGTCGAGGTTTGATAAGTAATCGCACTTCACAATCTTTAGGTCGACCAGGGATGAGAATACGCCAATGCTACCCATACCGTTCTCAATTGGAACCTCGGGTACCTCATTTAGGTTGATGCACGGTGGTGATATACCATAAAATGGTAAGCTACAAAGTCTATGACAATCATGAAACTCAAGGGATTTTAAGCTTGGCAGATTATGAGGATAAAACCAATTTGGAAGAGATTGACCTAGATAACCATAGAGGGTCAGACACTTGAGACTGGTAGGAGGAATTAGGACTTGAAGAACCTCGATGTCATTATGGTCTTGCGATCTCACAGAAGACCATTTCAAGTTCAGTCTGTCAAGATTTTTCTTGTTCTTTATCGCACTTTCTGCTGCAATATCCTTGCTTGTTGCACCAAGATTATTTATCGTCACTCCTCCACAAATTTGGTTCACGTTCTTCATCAATGTAAGTCCGACTCCCTGCCCAGTGGATGCATCAAAATGACTTTCTCCATTTGGGAGAGTTAAATCCACATGATTCGAACCTCTGTAAATTGCATAGCTTACTGAAGTCACCGGGCAAGCTTTCTAATTTGCATTTTCGAGCTGAAAAAATCTGCAAATTATGTAGGTGACATAACTCCGAGGGAAGGCTTTTGAAAGGACAAGCTCCGGAGATTTCCAGGTACCGTAGATGCTTCAATTTCCCAATACTCTTCGGTAGCTCCTTTGTGTGGGCACACAAAACCACGCGCATATGCTGAAGTTTACTACACCAATGGTCCATAACAGAAGCTAGACTTTGCTTCTGTAAAGACCTGTAGCACAGTAGAGTGCGCAACTTTGTGTGCTTACATAGGCTCAGCAACTGAGTACAATCAAAGGCTATGCTAGGGAGTACGAACAGATGACGAACACTCGGAGGAACCTTCTCAAAATCATCCTTGTCTTTTAAAATGAAGCAGTCATCCTTTGAAACTAGTTGTGCCATGTCATGCAACAGATCATTACATGTTTATTACCACCAACACTCTGAAAGAAAGACCGGTTTACAAGGTCTTCAAAGTACTGTTTGCCAGTATCTAGAATTAGAGTGTTACCTTCAGGTTGCACAAAGCCTTCTGCAATCCAAATTTCAGCTAAATTATCCTCTTCGAATTTGTGATCTTTTGGGTAAACAGCACAGAATGAGAAGCATCTCTTCAAGTGGGTTGGTAAATACAGGTAGCTCAATCTAAGCGCTGGCAAAATTTCAGTATTATTTTGTTTCAGCTCCCATAGTTCACTTTTTAGTATCCTATTCCAGTATTCAGTGTCAAGGCTCATTCTTAATAGGCGTCCTAGAGTTTTGGCGGCCAAAGGTACACCCTTCAACTTTTGGACTATGCTTTTACCGATGTGCACTAACTCTGGGTAATTTTCAGAATTCTTAGATCCAAATGCACATAATTTGAAGAAATCCCAAAAGACATCATCCTGCAATCCTTCTAATCGGATGGGCTCCATTGTTTGCACCTCACGAGCAACATCTGGAGATCTAGTGGTGACTAACATCATACTTCCTTGTAGCGCATTCGTCAAAGGTGCACAAAACCTCTTCCAACAGTGTCCACTCTCCCTCAAGACATCACCCCACATGTCATCAAGTATGATCAATAACCTTTTGTTCATCACTTCTTCTGAAAGAGCACGCTGAAGATAATCCAAATTATCAGCTTCTTTTGTAGAACAGGATTGTATGGCTTCTTTAGTTAACCTCTTCACATCAAAGTCATCTGAAACACAAATCCAAATAATCGGGTCAAAGTGAGACATGACCCGTGAATCGTGGCAGATATGCTGGGCCAAAGTGGTCTTTCCAACACCCCCAATTCCATATATAGGCAGAACAGGAATACATGTGATTCCTGATTCATCACTCATTTGTGTACCGTTATGTTGTTTTGTTTTTGATGTGCTTGGTGATGCATTAATTGCACTGCTTGGTTTCTTGCGTTTGGAAAGGACCCGGCTACCTTTAGCAGGTACTCCAAGCGATTGCATCACCTGCTCCAATTCATTGTCACGACCAAACATTTCTGTTTCAGTTGGGAAAGAGGTAGTCTCGGGCCTGAAGGATTTGTCAAAGTGTTGTGTAACTTCATGTAACCCCATCTTCTCCAGCAGACTAGAAACATTATTCAGTTTTTCATAGGTACCACTCACTTTGTTGAAACTACCTTGAATGACACTATCAAGGAAGTCAATAAGAGGAGATTTGTTTGCGGAGCCCTCCATGGCCACCTTCAGTTCATGCCATTTCAACTCATCAAGAAGGTCCTCAGCATCATAAACTGCATCCTTGAGTTTCAGAAGAAGCTCTGGCACATGGTCTTTGTGGATCGTCCATTCCGCTCGATCAATGAGGTTGTACATTGCAGGAAGAATATCTCTGAAACGTTCCAAGTCATTCTCCAACTTCATTACTTTGTCTTGCAGCTCCTGCTCCCGTATGCCACTCCAGCAAGATTTAATGATATCTTTGACCATTTTACATAAAGTGGAAATCTCATTGATGCCATTAATAGCCCCCACAATCTTCGAAAAGTCCATTTTGGATTATTTTTTTTCGTCCTATGGAGGGAAAACAATGAACACACTTACTATCACTTGAAGTATATATCCATTCCAAATTAATTAGTGCTGAATTTATAAGTACGGAATGTATTTTCAGAACATAGCTTTATTAAGCCAAAATTAATGTTTTCTAATTTCTCCTTTTTATTCTTACCTGATATTACTTGTAGCAGCTAAAATAAAGATGATGTTGCTTGGGAAGTTTGACATAATACAGGATTGTTGCAGAAAAAATGATTAACTTTTTGCATGCTGCCTTTGGTTTTCAGGCTCATAGCAAGGTGTCATGATGTTTGTTTTTTTGCAGTGTCATCATTTTGTATGAATCATCTCTTGATTTGCTACCACTAAAAATTCATTCTGAATCACCCCTTAATTTGATCCCAATATAATTCAATCACTCTTAAGGGTTTTCAAGTTCAATACAGTGCCATCTACATCTTCAGTTGAATATTAGTTCTAGGTAAGTTCCTAAGAGAAGTGCTGACCACACACCACCATGATTTCTGTCCAGGAGAACAGAGATACACTGAATAGCCATGTTAGGTGAGCTCATGCCATCATATTAATTGATGTGCCTTTTAATCATGTTCTTCATATATTTGCCTTTACAAGCAGCGCAGCAGGTGTTCACTTTTCAGACTGGACTGCAGGGGTAATGGGTTCAATGCCGCAACTTGCTGACTCAAACTTATGAGTGAGTAGAAGGTGAACATACTATCTTTCCATGACCTGCAATCTACCGGTGCAACTCTTCGCTTCCCAAATTTGATTCCATGCGTTGCATAATTTTGCAGGTGCAGAAATCAAATGCTTTTAATGTTGTATGTGCAGACGGTCTGAAGCTCCACGTTCCCCTCCCTTCTTCTAAACTTGCGCGTCTCCCTCCTCTCTGGTGCGGCGAAGGAGGTGGCGCAGGGGTCGATCCGGTGGCCTCGATGAAGGCATCGGAGCTGGAAGGGCGCGCTGGAGAGGGAGGGACGGTGCCAAAGAAAAAAGCACCGGGGCCGGAGGGGCCATGCCGGAGGGCCGCGGCATAAAGAGGAAACATCAATATGAATATGAATATGAGAAATTCTAAAATTATTTACATTGTGAAACGGAGGGAATATTACTGTAAGGTGATGGTTCTTTTTAAAAGGATTTTTTTTAAGGTACCAAATTTAAGTGGATGGATCTAACGCACCAGAATTAAACACACGATACTATGCGTGACAGTAAATTTGGTGGATGGGTATAATAATTGGAAAAAATACAGGATCTTCGTCTCAACTGAATTTCTGTTTCTACCTCCCATTTTTCCCGGACAGCATGTGCATGCATGTCGACGAGGATATTTTCCCCGATTTCTTGTTTTATTAGTTGATATATTTTATGAAAGTGATTTATCTGTTTGTTATTTAATTGCTGCTTATTCGGTTGAAAGATAATTATCCAAATTACAACACGCATGCATGCATGTTTCTTCTTTCTTCCTTCTTCGGCCATGCTACCCAAGCATGCGCAGGCAGCCACTGCCCTGTTAATTTCTTTTTCCTCCTCCTTTGGTGGAACACAAGATTTGCATAATCATGCCAAGTGTAAATCAATCGATTATCCTAAACAGGTAAACAACACAGTTGCATTCATATTCGTTCTTTCATACTCAGAAGCAAAATCTGGCTCCACGGCCCACGGGTAGAGATGTTATCGATGCTTGCGATCGCTATAGCAGCGAGCCTGTCGACGACGCTGGCTGATCAAGTCGTCAGTAATGACATGCAGCGAGGACAATGACGAGAGATACTCATTGTATGATTGGTTTAGAAAAGTCAAATGCCACATTACTGATCTGATTTAACGAAAAGTCTAAAGTACCCATATAAATCAATGGTCCGATGGTCCGATTTAATGATACTCTAAAAGATACCGTAAAAGCCACATTACTACGGCCCTCTTTGTTTAGGCTTAGGTTTATTGGCCTAGACTTTTAAGTCAGCTTATTGGCTTATATGATTTATAAGCCGGTGGATTTAATGTCCTAAGTTTAGTAGTTGAGTCATATATCTACCTCACATAAACCAAAAAAGCTTCTCCAACCTAGCTTTTGGCTTAATAGTGTTAGAGTGGCTTATGGCTTCAAAAAAGCCAAACGGAAAAGCTGCTTGTTTGTTTAGGCTTAGACTTTTCGACTTATAAGTTGGCTTATAAGCCTAAACAAAGAGGGCCTACATTTGGCAGTAAAAGACACCGTAAAAGCATCCTTTTAAAAGATCGGCACCAATAGTATTTTATGTTTCCTTTTAAAAGACCGGCACCTTTTAAAAGATACCATAAAAGCGCCCTTTTAAAAGATCGCTAATTATGTCTACAAAGGCTTAGAGGGATAGAGCTAAAGAATGTTTTGAGGTCGAGTCAGGGGACCACTCGGGCTTGTTCTCGGGAACGACAAGTACGGGGTCAAGTTTGTCTTTCTGAAGATAGAGCCACCTTGACCTCCACGAGCTCTGAGATGAGGAGCATTGGAAGGGGATATATTCCGCCTTCATACCATCTCGGAGACGGAACCCGCAGCATTTGGAGATCCTGTTGGACTCCATCATATCCATCGGAGCTTGTAAAAATAGCGGAAGAGATCAAGGAACGGCACTACACCGACGTAGGCCTCACAAAGATGAGCAAATATGCTCAAAAAAGCAATAGAGTTAGGGTTCAAGTGAAGGTGGAGGCCGTAGAAATTTACAATCAAGAGGAGAAATTTAGAAGGAGGAGGTAGGAAACCGCATCGAATAAAATCCTCTAACACCACAACTTGCCCTCGGGCGGGTTTGGGTTTCTGTACCTCCTTCCGATCGCTCTAGATCCTGGTGGCCAGGCAGTGACTCTTTCATTCGCAGCTTCATCCCGGAGGTGTCGATGGATGAGGCTCCAAGATCCATTGATACGACGGAGATGGCCAGAGAAGAATTGGGGAAGTTAGGGTTTTCTGGGAGCCGGAGGAACCAAGGTTTTGTGCGCAAGGGAGGCGAAAGGTGTTGAGTTGTGATCCAAATTCATTTGCACTTAATAAAGGCCAGCTTCTGCCGTAGTGGAGCGGAGGCCCGTTGCTGGGAGGCTTGGGCCGGAGCGTCATCCCTTTTAGGGTTCCACCATATATATACCTCTTGTAAGCCGCCGTGCGGCGTTGTAACCTCACCTCAGATATAGTGAAGATATTTTGCTGGCTGGCACCCGTGGTTTTTTCTCTCCTGCTTTGGGAGAGTTTTCCACGTTAAATCTCGTGTCTTCTGTGATTGATCTATTGTTCTTCATCATTTGTTTGCTTATCGTTTCCTAACAAGTGGTATTAGAGCTTGTTTTCCACATTAGGGTTTCGCGATGGCGTCGATGAAGTATGATCTACCGCTGCTAGACTACAAGACGAGATTCTTGCTGTGGCAAGTCAAGATGCGGGCTGTTCTGGCGCAAACTTCGGATCTTGATGAGGCGCTGGAAAGCTTCGGGAAGAAGAAATCGACTAAATGGACCGCTGAGGAGAAGCGGAAAGATCGTAAGGCTCTGTTGCTGATCCAACCTCATCTATCTAATGATATTTTGCAAGAAGTGTTGCAGGAAAAGACTACTGCAGAACTTTGGCTCAAACTGGAATCGATCTGCATGTCTAAATATCTAGCCAGTAAGATGCATATCAAGATGAAGTTGTTCTCGCACAAGTTGCAGGAGAGTGGTTCTGTGTTGAACCACATATCGGTCTTCAAGGAGATCGTTGCTGACCTAGTGTCGATGGAGGTACAATTTGATGATGAAGATTTAGGTCTTTTACTGTTATGCTAACTGCCTAGTTTATATGCAAATTTTCGTGACACCATACTTTTAAGCCGTGATGAACTAACCTTAGCAGAAGCTTATGAGGCGCTCCAAAACAGGGAGAAGATGAAAGGTATGGTTCAGTCTGATGCGTCGTCCTCTAAGGGCGAAGCATTGCAGGTCTGAGGCAGATCTGAGCAGAGAGCCTACAACGACAGCAATGATCGTGACAAGAGCCAAAGTAGAGGTCGTTCTAAGTCCAGAGGTAAAAAGTTCGGTAAGTATTGCAAAAAGAAAATTCACTTCATTGAAGAATGTTGGAAGCTGTAGAATAAGGAGAAAAGGAAATCTGATGGTAAGGCCTCTGTTGTTACCAGTGCTGAAAACTCTGATTCAGGAGATTGTCTTGTCGTTTTTGCTGGTTGTGTTGCTAGTCATGATGAATGGATACTTGATACTACATGTTTGTTTCATATCTGCATTAACAAAGATTGGTTTAGTTCTTACAAGTCTATGCAGAATGGAGATGTTGTGCGCATGGGAGATGATAACCCATGTGAGATCGTGGGCATTGGCTCCGTTCAGATCAAGACACATGATGGCATGACACGCACGCTGAAAGATGTGAGACACATACCAGGGATGGCGAGAAATCTCATCTCTCTCAGCACACTTGATGCAGAAGGATACAAATACTCCGGTTCAGGTGGAGTTGTAAAGGTATCGAAAGGTTCTCTCGTTTATATGATTGGTGATATGAATTCTGCAAACTTATATGTTCTTAGAGGAAGTACATTACATGGTTCTATTACCGCTGCTGCTGTTTCTAAAGATGAACCTAGTAAGACTAACCTGTGGCATATGCGTCTTGGACATATGAGTGAACTTGGTATGGCAGAATTGATGAAGAGGAACCTGCTGGATGGCTGCACTCAGGGTAACATGAAGTTCTGTGAGCACTGTGTTTTTGGTAAGCATAAGAGGGTAAAATTCAATACCTCAGTTCATCGCACCGAAGGTATACTTGATTATGTACACGCTGATTTGTGGGGGGCCTTCTCGTAAGCCCTCCCTTGGTGGTGCTCGTTATATGCTTGCCATTATTGATGATTACTCTAGAAAAGTGTGGCCTTATTTCCTAAAACATAAAGATGATACATTTGCTGCTTTTAAAGAGTGGAAAGTCATGATAGAAAGGCAAACTGAAAAGGAGGTAAAAGTACTTCGCACTGACAATGGTGGTGAATTTTGTTCGGATGCTTTTGATGATTACTGCAGGAAGGAAGGCATCGTTAGGCATCACACCATCCCGTAAACTCCACAGCAGAATGGTGTGGCTGAGCGCATGAACAGAACCATCATCTCCAAGGCTCGTTGTATGCTGTCCAACGCTCGCATGAACAAGCGTTTTTGGGCAGAGGCTGCTAACACCGCCTGCTACTTGATCAACAGGTCGCCTTCTATCCCACTTAATAAGAAAACTCCCATTGAGGTATGGTCTGGTATGCCTGCTGATTATTCACAGTTGAGAGTTTTTGGATGCACTGCTTATGCTCATGTTGATAATGGAAAATTAGAGCCTAGAGCTATTAAGTGTCTGTTTCTTGGTTATGGTTCAGGAGTAAAAGGATATAAGTTATGGAATCTTGAAACTAATAAGATGTTCATGAGTAGGAGTGTTGTTTTCAATGAATCTGTTATGTTTAATGACAGCTTGCCCACAGATGTCATACCAGGTGGTTCTGATGAGGAGCAGCAATATGTTAGCGTGTAGGTGGAGCACATGGATGATCAGGAAACTGAAATTGTTGGTAATGATGTTAATGATACTGTTCAGCACTCATCTCATGTTTTGCAGCCACAAGATGAACCTATTGCACATCACCGAACAAAGAGGAGTTGTGGAGCTCCAGTCCGCCTTATTGAGGAATGTGATATGGTTTATTATGCTTTTAGTTGTGCTGAACAGGTGGAGAATACTCTTGAGCCAGCCACATACACTGAAGCTGTTGTTTCTGGAGATCGTGAGAAGTGGATCTCAGCTATGCAGGAGGAGATGCGGTCTCTTGAGAAGAATGGCACATGGGAGCTTGTGCACTTGCCAAAACAAAAGAAGCCTGTTCGTTGTAAATGGATCTTCAAGAGAAAGGAGGGTTTATCTCCTAGCGAGCCTCCGAGGTTTAAGGCAAGGTTTTAGGCCGGTAAATTTTCGAAACCCAAAGCTTAAATTTAATGATTTTGTTTGGATTTGATTCGTGTTTTAGGGCATTGGGTCTTACAATCGAATTAGGGTTCTTAATTTTGGAGATTTCGGGGAAATTTCAATATGATTTATTCCCTCTTCCCAAATTCCTTACTTCTTCCCGAAAAGGCCGTGCGGTGGACTTCCCTATCTGATTTCCCTACCTAAGCCCAGTTGGATGAGGAACGAAGGAAGCCAAGTCCTGGCTATCGCGTCTTGCGGACGACGCAAGCGACGAACGAAAATTGAAGTGACGATTGGAAAATTACGAATCTTTTAATTAGTTAAGATATATATACTAGCAAAAGTGTCCATGCGTTGCAATGGGAAATGTAAAGACCAGAAAATTGAGGAAAAGTTAAGAAAAAATTACATTATGTAACTAATTAAAATACAAAATTGCTGAAATATTTGGTATTTTTAAGTGGGTAGGTGTATAATTAAATCAATTTACAAGTAAAGCAAGTGTGAGAAATAAAATGACATGGTTAAATTTAATTTTATTAAATTCTCCATGATTTGTTACGCTCTTTGAAATTTTATTGGAATTTCCAGAGTTTAATTGCTAATTTTAATAATACAAACATCATTTAACAATTATTTAATTGAAAAAAGAATCAAAATCCTCCCTTTTAGGTTTGGGGCAAATATGGAAAAGTCCATATGCCCTCCCTTTTGTCTATTCTATTTGTCTGGACTGTTTCCTTTCTCAATTGAAGTCCATTTTGCGTCCTCCTGCAATCGATCTTCTAGTACATGTGCTTCGGCGACCCAATAGTGCAGCGGCCCAATAGTCCAGTTGCCCGACGCGGGAGAAGCTGGAGCCGTCCGATCGAAGGGATGGTCCAGATTGATCCTAACCTAAATAAATAATGGGCACCCAAAACCTAACCCTAGAATTCTTTTCCCACCCCTCCTCTCTCGCTCTCTCTCGAAATGGTGCCCTTCCCCCGAGCGGCGGCGGTGCCTCTCCTCCCGAGTGGCGGCGCCGCCGCCCTCCCCCCTCTCTTGGCGAGTGGCGGCGCCTCCCCTACCCGAGCAGCGGCGGCGGTGCCCAACCCAATCCCGAGAGGCGGCGTCGGACGCAATGTATTTGGTGTTTTGGGGTGACTTGTTGAAGTTTGGGTTTCTCTCATCTTTATTTTTTTTGCAACTTTTTCCATCGTTCACAAAATCTAAATCAGATTCGGATTGGGATAGGACGGAAGGACGAAAATACGGACGTAAAGAGGGGTGACAAACGGAAAATTACGAATCTTTTAATTAGTTAAGACTAGCAAAAGTGCCCGTGCGTTGCAACGAGAAGTGTAAAGACCAGAAAATCGAGGAAAAGTTGAGAAATATTTACATTATATGTAATTAATTGAAATACAAATTTCCTGAAATATTTGGTATTTTTAAGTAGGTAGGTGTATAATTAAATCAATTTACAAGTAAAGTAACTGTGAGAAATAAAATGATATGGTTAAATTTAATTTTATTAAATTATCCATTATTAGTTGCACTCTTTGGAATTTTATTGGAATTTCAAGAGCTTAATTGCTAATTTTAATAATACAAACATCATTTAACAATTATATTTAATTGGGTTTGGGCCAAATATACAAAAGTTCATATTCCCTCCCTTCAGTCTATTATATGTCTCTGGCATGTTTCCTTTCTCCGTTGAAGTCCATTTTGTGCCCTCCTGTAATCGAGCCTAGGAAATGATGTCCCAGCATAAGTCTATTTTACTTCCCAGTCACTACAGTAGCATCTTCAAGCTCCAGCCAGCCAAAACCCTGCCTACACCCGACGCCACCCGAATCCCGCGTCCGATTCAACCAAAACCGTGTAGATAATCTCAAATTAGTTGAGGGCTTTTGTTCTATATCTTCTACTCCATCTTTCCCCTCAAGAAATTGAAGGAAATCCCGTAGAAATCGCTATCATATTAAGCTCGAACTCGAGTTTATCTCTCCGATAAACCCTTGCGTTTTCTCTCTAGTGAACTCGAGTCCGATTCAACCGAATTAGCGCGTTGACGGACAAAAACACGGACAAAAAACAATGTGATGAACGGAAAGTTACAAATTTTTTAATTACTTAAGAATAGCAATAGTGCCTGTGGGTTGCAACGAGAAAAACTACAAGCCTAAAATATCGGACCGACCCATTTAGCATGGGTGCGCGGCGAGCATGCACGCCCATATATCGGCGACGGCCCGACGCAGGGCGAACTAAGCGCGGCCCAAAGATTGCATGGTCTAGCAGCGTTGGTGGCCCAACACGGGGCTGATCTGAGCTGTCCGATCGCTCCCGTGCCGATGAAATCACCGGCCGAAGAGGGGAGGGGTGCGAAAACCCTAACCCTAATCCCTTTTCTCCCCTACTCTCCCCGATCCAAACTCCGGCGACACGAGAGAGTGGATGGTGGCGACGGTGGTGACGGAGGTCCGTCGAGGTGGAGCACGCAAGCGGCTATGGCTTCACCGACTAGGAGGCGCGCCTGAGGGTGGCACCATGCGAAGACATGGTGTCGGCGGTCCGATGAAGCGGGCGCACAAGCTGCGATGGGCTTCAAGAACAGTCGGGCTTCGAGAGCAGTGCATCATGAACCCTAATTTAATCATATTAACTTTAATTGAACATGAACATGAGCTAATCTTTACTAAGCAGTAAAGATAAGAAGCTAAACACATTATATTAAACTTATTGGACTCAAAATTGTTCATGTCGAACCAAGATGGCACTGATGGCTTCTAATCATCGAGATGATGTGAATAAGGAATTGAGTAGGCTAAAGTTAAGCTCTAATACCACAATGTTGAAGTTCTAATTCAAGACCTTATTGTTTTAACCTATAAACAATCACCTTCCATTAATTGAAGCCGATGTCTGGTTTAGAAATAATTTCATTTAGAGGCTAAAATAATTTTTCATCAACTCTATTTGCCTAAGAAGGCTTATAAATGATTTTCTTAACTTTTGGCCCAGGTCTTCCAAAGCCAGCCCAAACTTGGGCCAACCCGTCTTCGTGCGAGCCGAGTCAGTTCAACGGCCCACAAGCCGAGAAGCCGAGCGTGGCCCACATTCGCGGCGATGGCCCGATGCAGTTCCGCGGCCCATTGGGCAGAGTAATCAGCAGCGGCGGCCCGACGCGGGGCAAATCTGAGACGTCCTATCTGATGGATGGCTCCGATCATCCTCGCGTCAGATGAAGCGCCAACCGAGAGAGAGGGGCAAAACCCTAGCTCCCATATCCTTCTCTCCCGATCCCCTTTCTCTCCGGTGACGAGCGAGCGGAATGAAGGCGGTCCGGCCAGCGTGCGCGTGCGGTGACGACCGTCGAGCGGCTCCTGCTTCGCCGGCTGGGGGGCACACCCGAGGGCGGCGCGCAAACGGCAATGAGCGCCGAGCGGCCCGGACCTCATCGGTGGCGGGCGTGGGGGGAGGCACCAAGCCTACTCTTGCCGTCTCTGGCAAGGGACGGTGGAGGGGTGCTCTAGGATAGTGTGCGCACGAGGAACCCGACGCGACTGCGAGGAGGTGAAGGTGCGGTGGTGCCGCTCCGGTGAGCTTAGGGGCTTCAAATCCGGTAAATGTAATCCGAACCCTTATCTTAATTGATTTGGATTTTGACTCTTGGGGTTCTTATCCGAAATTAGGGTTCTTCGAATTTGGAAAATTTTGTTGGCAAATTTCAATTGTGGCTTTAGAAATAGAAATATATGGGACTCAGCGTCATTGAATCAGACTTTCCTTTTTTTTTCTTTTTATGTTTTTTCGCCTTTTTTCGTTATTACGGATGACGGAAACGTTTTTAATTTTTTAAGTGGTAGAGATGGAGATATATAGGTATAGTTGTGAATTGGATGAATTATATGATTGCGTACATGTGAATATATGGAGACATACTGTAGAGGGGAGATCGAGTGTAAAGTGCGACCAGATTTGGCTTTGATCAACTTGGGCGAGGCCCCCGGCGGCCAACAAAATAATCGGTCCTGCCTCTCACATGTCAAGATCAGATTAACCAAGGACCAGCAAGTCCTGTTTCACATCGAACATTTCAGATTAATCAGTTAAAAAGAAACAGATTTAAAGGGAGAGACGTCTTTCCAAATATTTTCTAAGAAAAAATTATGAACGTGTTGAGAATTGAACACGCGAACTGGATCAAAGTTAAAACCACACAACTCTTACCACTCCACTTGAGTCAAGTGTATCTTCAGAGTAATTCAGTAGGAGTATCGATCTACACACAAGAGAGGGATCAGGACTTGATCGCATATAGGAGAATCGATCTTACCGTGGCCGGAGACGATCGATCGTTCGGCCAAGTCAATACTATCGATCTGGACTGGAGTATCTTCTTGCTTGGAGTGGATGCTCTTATTATTCTTTGTCGCTCGTAGGCAACCGCGACGTGGGCGCTCCAAGCTAGCCAATATATGTGAGGAAGAGAAGAAAGCGCGAGAAAGCTTCCGCGAAGAAACGACCTGACCTGACTAGGGTTGCCTACGGGGGCGCTCCAAGTTAGCAAGGTAAAAGGGGATATGTGAAAAAGCAAGGTAAAGGGGAGAGGCGCCGCAGCGTGGGCTCGAGGAAGCTTCCGCGAAGAAACGACCTGACTTATGTTTCATTTTTTTTAGACTACCCGACTTTCCGTTGTGCACTGCTTTTAACCATTAATTAATCGATAAAATATAGAAATCTTGATTTATTGTTTTAGAAAAATAATATTTAGCTACATTTTTTCTTGATCTGAGAATTTTAGTTTAAGGGGTTTTTATATTTTGATAAATATCCAACCGTATTTGCTCCGATTCATATTCGCTCTGTTTTTGTATTCGATAATATACGATTTTGTTTTCGTATTCGGGGTTATTTCAATTCCGATTCCGATTCCGAAAAAATATGAAAACGAAAACGATAAAAGTGGTTTCCATCCGTTTCCGTACCGTTTTCATCCCTACTTGTGCTAGATGAAACTGTAAGCCTCAATGAGGGAACATGAAACCCTCTCCACTTTCCGACCAGCCCACCCTCTCCTCTCCCTTACGGATGCGGCTTCTTCCAATTCCATGTTCCCATCCCAGTTCCCTGCATATGTCAATCGTTTATTAGTTTAGTATTTTCTAGTGGGCCTTCACACCTTGCGCCTTCGTCACACGCACGGTGTTATGCCTCCGTTTAATAATTGGAAACAACGTCATTAACTTTAATAACAGTTTTTAGGCACCAAATAGATAGAATTGCTGGCGGGAAAAAGAATTATGGCACCATTTGTCTCAGTTCTCCCGTCAAAACCTCTAGCATCCAAACAACTCACGTCTAAACATGTATTAGCATCTTGGTAAATTAAGCTCTCATATCAAGCACCGGCATCGACGCCAACTCTTGGTGCTATGCCAAACAACAGCATGATTCCTCCATGAGAGGCATCACAACTGCATGATGCAGGAGCAAGTTCTATGTTCTTGGAAGATGCATCTGCCGCCACTACTACAAAAACACCCATAGGTGTCGGTCACAAAGGTGCTGGTTAGTCAAAAACCGACACCTATAAGTCATTTTCCGTCAATGTAGCGAAAAACCGGCATCTATAACGATTAATAGGTGTCGGTTTTTGTTGGGAAGGTCATTGGTACCGGTTTTTATCTAAAACCGGCACTAAAAATACTCCCGCCAACGGTCCGAAAATCGCATAGGTGGCGGTCGTGGACAAAAACAGCACCTATACGAAAGGTGGTGGTTATTTAAACGAACCAACACCTATATGTTTGCATCATATAGGCCGGCGAGGGAAATAGGACCTATTTCCCTCGCCGGCCTATATGATGCAAACATCAAAACCGGCACCTATTTCCCTTGCCGGCCAATATGATGCAAACATATAGGTGTCGGTTTTATGTGTCGGTTTTTTTTAAAAAAAACCAACACCTATATTATGGAAGAGTGCCGGTTTTCTAATAAAAAGTCGGCACCTTTTATCCCTGTAGGTATCGGTTCTACCACACAAACCGACACCTATGTGGCTAGTATATACTCCCCCAGCCTTATCCGCCCACCCGCTCCTCACAATCGCGGTCGTCGCCATCGTCGTCCATCGTCGTCGTCGCCACTTGCCGCCGCCGTCCGCCCACTGCCGCCACCGCCACCGCCACCGCCACCGCCACCACCCACCGCCGCCGCTCCCTCGGATCTCCTCCACCGCCGCCGCTCCCTCTGCTCTCCGCCCACACCGCCCGCCACCCTACCTCCCCCTACCGCCCCCACCGCCGCCACCGCCACCGCCCGCCGCCGTGGATCGACGCCAAGAGGTTCCCCTCTCCTCTTTACTATAATTATCTTGGTTGATAGTGTTTTAGACCGCAACTGTCACTAATTTTGGATCACATTAGTCTCTTCTACCTGTCACTAATTTTGTACTACTAAATTAGTAGTACAAAATTACAAATCTTCTTCATCTTCTCATTACAGATACAGATAATTACAAATCACTGAAAATTCCTTTCTACAAATACAGATACAAGTCACTGAAAATTACAAATCTTCTTCATCTTCTCATTCTTCTTCAGTGTCAACTTCACCAATGCTGGCATTGACCCTGCAAATCAGAACTATGGAGTATATAAATATCACAACTCTTTAGTTTAATAAATTCAACCGGGAGGATTAATTAGAGACTAATATGACATATCTGCACTGATGGTTCAAAAATGGCTGGAAATCAGTAACACTTTTGTCAAAATAACCCTGTTCACTTTAATATTTTTCCCTTTTGAGTTCTGAAGCTGAAAGCCAAGCAAACAGCTCATGGTCACCATGTTATTGGTCCTCTGGTGTGTCCATGAGGCCTGAGGGCACCTTAACCTTAACCTGTTAATTAACAACAAAATTTTAGTTCTACTCTACATTTAGCCTATGTAATTAGTACAACACTAGGTACTGAATGCTACAGTTTCTAACTCTGCATTTACTTTTGCTATTGCCATGTGTTTATCCTTCACTTTTGCCACGTGTTTATCCTTCTCTTTTCAAATTTTAGCAATAACATACCTACTGTAAATGAAGTTTTATCGTTTTTGTTATTTGATCATCAATCTTTAGAAAATGTCACCGGAAGAAGATGTGAATGATATGAACTGTTGTGGGATTTTAAAATGAGACTTCTTGGAAATGTGAATGATGTGGATGTGCAAGATGTGAATGTAATATTCTGTGATTTTGGTGGACGATGCGAATATTATTGTGTCATTCTTGTTCCATATTGTATTTCTGTGGATGATGTGGATGTGGAGGATGTGGATGTCATATGTGAATGTAATATTCTGTGATTTGTGTGGATGCGTATACGAATGCATATGTGAACGTCCATATTTGTGTGAATGCATATGTGAATCTGCGAATGCATATGTGAATGTCCATATTTGTGTGAATGCATATGTGAATCTGCGAATATAATATTGTGTAATTTTTGTGATTTCTGTGTTTCAGGATTATGTATTTCACAATATGTTTTTTATGGCTTTTAGAATTATAGGTGCCGATTCTTATAAAAAAACCGACACCTATAATCAATATAGGTGTCGGTTCTAGGGTACAACCGGCACCTATAATAAATATAGGTATCGGTTCTTGGTGTATAACCGGCACCTATAATATTATAGGTGCCGGTTCTGGAACCGGCACCAATAACTTTGATCACTAGTGCCGACCAAAAGGTGTCGGGCCCGAAACCGACACTTATTAGGCCTTAAGAACCGGCACTAATGGGTATTTTTGTAGTAGTGCACAACGATGTCCCAGCCCAATCACTGCATCCTCAACCTGTAGAGATGCAAGCGCAACCACATCCACATACCACAGTAATGGTATTACTGATCACATAATCGTTTTTCTTAAAAGAAACTGCTTGCCTTGATTATTGTCACTGATTTTTTTCCATTACTTTTTCTTGTGTTAGGATCATCTAGAGGTTCCCAATAACCACACTTTTTTTTACACGTATCAGAGTATAGCACTGCTCTGGATGCATGGACACATACTTCATTTCATACTCCTATTCATTTCATACTCCTATGTTAATGACTCCACAAAGTCAAGGGTTGCATCAAGGGAGGCCGATTCAGCAATATGACACGATTTTCACTACATGTTTAATTGATTTATTAAATATATTTAGTACATGAGCAATGCTACACGTACTAAATTTTTCATACTAAACTTTTACTAACAATCATCTCAACCGTTTGATTTAAGTAGATGGAAGTTACAAAAATTCTAGGTGTACTCATAGCATGACACATCAGTGTTAGTAAGAATTTAGTAAGAAAAAGTTAGTACGTATAGCCTTTTCCTTAGTACATAAACAATTTACACTTGTAAGTTACTGAACTATATAGTCTAGGGGATATGAGATTGCAAATATTATCTTCACTTCTTCAGGCTACAAAATATTTTTGCCATATTGTTAAGCTACAAAATATCATTATGATACCGTACCAAAAGAACAGATTTAAAGCAAAACCACGAAAGAAGATCAGGATCAGAGACAAGTACTACCTGCTACTAGTTCCAAGAGCCCAAGCTCCAACTCGGAAGCAAGGCAATCGATTGGGTGGCCCGCACTTTGAGATCGATGTTGTGTTGCCTAATGCACTGCGTGGTGCTCGAGCTTGCCGGCGAGGACGCCGATCTGCTCGTGTGTCGCTTGTGCTCGGCTGCAAGGGACCAAATCAGCCGCCGCGGGTGGTCCCATGAAGCTAGGTTACCTCGGTACCATGGCTGATGGCTCCGAAGCAAGGCGCGGGTGCTTGAGCTCGACGGCGAGGTTGCCAATCTGCTCGTGTCGCTTGTGCTCGGCAGCAGAGGGACTGAATCCGCTACCGCTGTCGCCGCCACCATCATCATAGAGGCCTTGTTTAGATCCCTTCGAAATTACACTATGTCACATCAAATATTTGGATGTATGCATGGAGTATTAAATATAGATAAAAAAAATAATTAATTACACAAATTGTGTGTAAATTGCGAGACGAATCTTTTAAGCCTAATTGCGCCATGATTTGACAATATGGTGCTACATTAAACATTGTTAATGATGAATTAATTAGGCTTAATAAATTCGTCTCGTGGTTTACAGGTGGATTCTGTAATTTTGTTATTAGACTATGTTTAATACTTCAAATGTGTGTTCATATATCTGATGTGACATACCAAAACTTTATACCCCTTATCTAAACACAACCAAAGCTTAGTTCAGGACCATGGCTGATGGGATGGGGGGGAAGCATCAAATAACTGGGGATTTTTTTTAAAAAAAATTCTAGTGTTGCTCATACGACAAAAGGAAACGGAGAAGTAATAACACGCCGTGCGTGAGACACGGAGGTGCAAGGGTGTGGAGGGGAAGCCGCATCCCTCCCGTACTGGCCTAGGCTAGACATACGTACACGCTTCCTCCCACCTCCAATACAGTGGCAATGCATATATATTGATTTAATTAAACGCCGTGGGAATGCTGGAAAGTTAGGGGTGCCACGTCAGATGTCACTTTTGCAAAAAAAGCCCCCGTAGTTCTGTTAATTACGCATTGGTCCCCGCTGATATATTGATGATTTACTTAAACGCCGTGGGAATGCTGGAAAGTTAGGGGTGCCACGGCAGATGTCACTTTTGCAAAAAAGCCCCCGCAGTTCTGTTAATTACGCATTGGTCCCCGCTGATATCCACCGTAAACCCGTCGGATCTCGATCTAGGGTAGATCTGGCCGTACACGTGTCCAACTGTGCCGGCCCTTCCGTACCTGTGAAATCGTTGGATCCGGAACGGACGGTGTGGATTTCGCTGGCCTGCACCAAACCCTAGCCCCGTCGCCCCCCACCCTCGCACGCGCACTCGCCCTCCTCCCTCTGCGCGCCGCCACGCTCTCCTCCTCGGCTCCTCCCCTCGCATGCGCCGTCGCCACCGCCACCTCGCCGTTCTCCTGCCCTCACGCGCGTTGCCTCGCCTCTCCTCGCCGTCCTCCTCCACTCGCACGGCATCGTTTCCATCGCAGACTCACCATCTTCCTTCACTCGCGCACGTCGTCGTCATCGCAGTCTCGCCCTCCTCCAGCCATCGTCGCCGACCCACCGCTGCCTCTCCCTCCCAATGAGGTCTAGAGGTCAGGTCCACCAAATCCGCGGCACCGCCACTCGCGTATTCTCTGTCCACTGGCATTTGACATGTTGGTTTTGCATCATCGATCTGCTGCAGCTGTGAAAGGTCGACGCCATCAGTCGAGGTGCCGCTCCCCTCCCTCCTGTTCTAATTCATGTCCTTGCGCTGACCAGCCGACCATTAGCACAGAGGCTGCAATGTAAGTCTGTTCTACCTCATCATTGATTATTTCCCATGCATTCACTTGAGGTTTTATAGGATCCACCATCTTGCCTTGGTCCCATTGAGTTACTCATGGGTTAGGATGTACAGCAGATTAGGCAGAGGATTGTCTTCCATTGCTGCAGTTTGCATCCGCTGTCAGGCTAAGCCATCCATTAAGTTTTATCCTCGCTGTTATGGCTGCTTGCAAGGCTGCAAGATTCAGTTAATGTCCTCACTGTTAAGGATGGCCGCAGCTCTGCAATATTCAAATGGTAATATTCTTGCTAAATTTGCCACCAATGATGAGATAAACTGAAATCCAATTATTTCCTTTGATTTTAATTGCATTCGCTATGGTGTAGTATGGTAAGAAATCCATGCACAAGCCTGTTGGGGTCATGTATGTATGGTCTTCTCAGTTGTCGTACTTAACGATTGCTGCTGATTCTTGGTGTTTTTTTGCAGTGATATGCTACTGTCAGCTTTGCCGTGGTGTATGTTTGATGATGAAATCTGATGTTTCTGGGCCATTTGTTTTTCCTTGATGTTATTTGTTTTAGAAGAGTGACATTTCTGCAATGTCCAGTGATAAGCTCAATCTGTTTGCGTTCTGGTAAAAAAAATAGGCTTGGTTTGATGGCTTCATGCCTTGCAGAAACTGCTCAAGGTCATCATACCTTGATCATTTTATCCTTGATTTATTCATTCTTTAAGACACCTTGATCATTTTATCCTTGATTTATTCCTTCTTTAAGACAACACATGCAAATATTTGCTTTATATGTACTCTGAAAGACTGTTCATCATATCTCTCTATCATGCCTTATCAACAATATAGTTTCATTTATATTCCATTGACAAACAATTTTGAGTATTAGCTTGATCTTTGACTGTTACTTTTGTTGATAGGTAACAGATTAGTTGTTGCAAGATTAACTGTCCACACAAAACAAGTCTTTTAATGCTTCTAAGGCACAAACAAGATATGAGGACATGGTGTGTGCCATGCTGATGCAGGTCTTCAGATGGGTGCACATTAAGTTCCCTACACACACTGACTATTAAAAATGAATTTTTTTTATTTTGTTTCATGGTTTCTAGCTATTTTTAGTACCATCTAAATGATCTTATTAGGCTTAAGTTTTGATATTTCTCACTGGGACCTCGCTTTCTTCAATTCGTCGACTTAGGCAGGTTGTATATTTCTATCATTGGATGAGATAACTATATCTCAGGTTAGCAATCTGCACTAAGAACTCTTGCAGATATATTATTTCGTTATCTAAATATATTGATTTGTTCCTCTTTCAAAAGGTTAAACAATTATGCAATACAATATGATTTCTGTGCAAACATGTCCTGCTACTAAGCTCATCTGCCGAAAAGAAAAGTCAAATCCTGAATATATTGCCTCTCAACCTCACCCATGGTCTTTATACATACTGATGGTAGCTTTTAGTGGACTTTGTTCACTTGAAAGTGTGAATAAAACTAATCTGCAATGGAAACATATAGCGGTAAGACATCTCATTCCTCCTTTTCTTTTTCTTTTGTCTTCTTGTGCAGAAGTGGAACATATCTTTCTAAGTTCTGTTTTTCTTCCATACGAATCAGTTACTTTTCTTAAAACATCACATGAAGTCATCCTAAACTATATAGAACTGAAATTTTAGCTACCATTGACCTATGCTGTGGCCATTGGACCTTTGGCATGCTATTTTTGTCCCTTAATTTGGTTTGTCCTCTTAGCTAGAGGCACTATAGCTAGGTTCTCTCTTTAGGAGCACTAATGCATTTTGGGGAAGTAGGGTATCTCTCCTTAGGTGTGCGAATTCAGGCACTAAAAACCATATACTTCTGTTATAGTTTTTTTTCTACAATTGAAATAGTTATTGATAACAGAAATATGCTTAACATGCTACATACATAGTCATATAACTAAAATGTGATAATTCAAATTGAAGCCTATGTACCATTGGAGCAACTACTGTGTTCCAAAACTCATATATTTTATTACAACAGCCAAGTAGGCTTTCAGTTATTGACAGCCAGTTGGGGATAATAGGATATTATCGAATGAGGTAGTTTTTAGTGTAGGAACTACGATCCATTGATAATGTTTCGCTGAATGCAAATTAAAGGAGGCTTAAGTGTCTATACAGATGTCTCCAGATTTTTACTATAAAGTGCCATGGTAGAATGAAAAAAGCTTGACTATGTGAAGTTATTTTTTTTTCTCAGCTACCTGTGTTCCAAAACTCAGAGAGTTCATTTCAACAGCCATTTCTTCCCCCTTGCCCAGTCCTAATTATTTGTTGTGTTCATTCTTTCATGCTGGCTCTAATCAATCTGGCCTGTTGTTGCCATTTCCTACACATCCACTATCTTGCCCCTCCTGCGAATCAGTCAGCTAACACCGTTTGATATGCACCACTACTTAAACCGTCGATCCTCCCTCTGAGTTCCGATAAGATGTTTCACATATTACATGTATATGTAGCTGATATATATGAAGCCCATGATATCTCTTATTTGTTCTTGGTTTCCTACTTATTGTAAGTTCCATATCGATGATATATCTTCTTTCAACAGCCACTTGCCAATTGTTGTGTTTCTATTTGGATCGTATGGAAGTTCTTTGTTGTTTACTTGAAGAGGTAATAATCTTGGTCTTCTGAATGCTCACCACATGTCCACGATAGTATGCTACGGGCAGATGCTACATCTCTTGAGTCTCCTCAACTTCCCTCCCTTTTCATCAGATAATATTTTATTTGTTAATTTGCTGTTATCTGGTAGTTATTTCTTTATGGTAAAAGGCTACATCTTTACCTGATCTTTCTTGCACAATAACCAATACTACCATGTCAATCAATGGCTATGGAACTTACTGACAATCACAAGGAATGTTGCATATCTAGCAACAAGAAATTCTATACTTCAGTTGAAGATTTTGATATTGGCTAGAACTTTACTAGACCACAAATACACATCTTTACAATGTCTTCATTAGGTCAGTTCAGGCTCTGTGTATAACAAGCTAAATGGCACTATGTTGAGACATGCCCTGAATATAAACGGTAGTATCAATACCAGATGTAAATGGCTAAAATTGTTGATATGAATAGTCCATATTTTCTTTTTTATCTACATTTTGGGCATTTAGATAATATTTACTTTTTTAGAATGCTATATATGTGTAATAGGTACACTAGAGAGTAGAGATAGATCAAGAGGTGCGATGTCTGTACTAGATGCGTACTCTTCTCAATTGTTATCACGAGCAGTGCTGCTTGAGAAATCATCAAGTTCAATATGTACCTTATGGGTTATTATGTGTTCTTGATGCTATCAGCCTTATTTATGGTCTCTTTTTGTTCTCAGATGGTATCAATCAATATTATTAACGGTTTATCTTTTCTGGAAGTACTTTGTTTGTAGGTAACTAAATAACAAAAACAATTGGAGCTGATGACATATGGGATTTCAAAAAATGCACATGCTATATATGTGGAGTCTGGAGATATGTTTTTTTTATTTGACAGGAATCTAGAGATGTGTATGTTCACCGGGTGAATGTTTGTTCATTACATGTGCAATAATTATATTGCAAGGCTCAGAACATTGAGTTGATCTTTTAGCTAGAAAATCATACAGCCATACTAGCTAATTTATACTTATAATTTGGTCCGCCTTTGTGCTAAATTATGTTTTCACAACAAAATGCTAGCTTACATATAGTTCTTATCTCATGTATGATTACAAATTACCAGCTAACAACTTCCTACAATATGCAAGCAGGAGAATGATATATGAGTTACATAAGAGACTATCAAGATTATCAAACAAGTGAACAACATTGCACGTTTTACTGTTGCCTTTTTTTAAATAGGAGTAACTATATTTATGGCACTGTATTTTCCGAAAAAATACAGCCAAATCATCCTTATACAGTAAATTAGCTACACTTATGTGAGAATTACACTGTAAATTTCAAAGCTTATAACATTACAAGTTTCAATATTTACATTGCAATTTTTTCTAATACACAATATAAAAAATTATGATTCAAAATAATTTATTATCTAATTAAAAGAGGATAATGTGGCACCATATTTTTAGAAAAAAAATTATTTTTAATTATATTAACACTCGTGAGAATGTTGTCAGAGTCAATATCAAATACTATAATTTGAGGGTGAGGATTTTTACCAGGTACCATAAGGTACCACACATATCCAACCGTCCATTACCAAAGGGGCAAAGGGTATGATGGGAAATATAATCTCTGCATCGAGGCCATGGGGTTCCTTCAACGCAACACCATCATTGTCCATCGAGCTCGCTTGCTGCGCCACCCTCGATCTCGTTCTGACTCGCCGCCTACAGATAGCTCTGACTCGGGAAAGTATTTTATGCCCTCGTGTGTCTTCTCCGCCCCGCTCTTGGATAGCACCTCTTCCAGGTTGATCTCGGGGTGTGTGAGCTTGATACACACAAGGACATCGCAAGTGCTCGTCCATCGATCGGTGTGCATCTCCTTGGCGGCCTGAGCGGCGTGCTTGGATACTGTAGCCTCCAGTTTGCCGATCAGGGTGCCCAGGGACCCCAAGACCGTAGTCTTGTCAGGGAACTTGGGTACCTTCTTGTGCCTCCCTACTTGAAGTGGAGGCCTTGTCGAAGAGATGCTAGGTTCTCCTAGACTTATTCCACACATTCCTCCCAACCTTGCCACTACCGCTCGTGGCCGACAACCATCTCCCGAAGCTTCTTTGTGTCCGCCCAGGCCTCTGATAGTTGGGCCTCTAGCTTTGTGACTCGGTCGTCGGTAGTAGTAGTAGCCTTTTTGAGTTGCTCGAGTGCTCGACCTCCGCGACTACGTCGTGAGCACTAGTTTGCAACACCATAATTTAGTCTATTAATTTTATTCACTCCCCTATGGAAATCATTTATCAGCCTTAGCAGATTATATTTTATTAGGCCTTGTTTGTTTCAACTTAAGATTGTCGTAATCCAGATTATTAAGCCAGATTACTATAAGCTAGATTATAATAAGCTATGAGTTGTTTGTTTCTCTAGATTATTGGAGACATGGATTATTGGGTTTGAAAGGTTAATGTCTATAATACCCTCAATACCCTCAGCTGTTACGGAGTCGGGGAAAAAGGATGAGATGGCAACAACAACAACAGTGGCGATGCGACTTGGGGAAGGAACCGAGGTGCAGGGTGGGGCTTGGGGAAGGATTCACATGTAGGGTGGGGACTTGGGGAAGGATTCATGTGCGACTAGGGAGTGAGGAAGCGGATGCACACACGGCTTGGGGAAGACACCAGGTTCGTGCGCAACTGAGGAGAAAGAAAGCGAATGCGCTTGATCTGTTGGGTTCGATGGCAGTGGTGGGTAATTTGTATAAAATTTTTAAGGGTAGTAGGTATTTAGCCACCCAATAATCTGCAAAAGCATGTTTAGAGGAGATTACCAGATTATATCAATCCGGCTTATAGATTATAATAATCTACATGTTTATCTCAAATTATTCCTAATAATCCAGATTATGAAAACCCTAAGCTAAAACAAAGAGGGTCTTAGTTAGTTCCCATAAGTTCATATAAAACCCTCCAGGTAAACCATTTGGGCCAGGTGTTTTTTTTCAGACCAAAGACCACTGTTTTGATTTCATCCAGAGTGAAAGGTTTGATCAACATTATTTTGTCTTCTTTAGAAACTGTTTTTACACCTTCCAACTCTAGAGTTACTGTGTTTTCTTTTGAGTGGCCAAAGAGCTCCTTATAGAATTTTGTTATATAACTTAGAAGATTAGCTTGTCCCTTAATCTCTCCTTTATCCTGTATAAGTGAGTGAATTTGTCCGTTTCTTTTTCTTTCATTTGCCTTAGCATGATAATATTTAGTGTTTCCATCTCCTTCTAAAATTTATTTTTCCTTACCTCTTTGGAACCATTTGAGTTTTACTTCTCTTATAACAAACTTCAGTTTATTCTCCAACTCTCTTCTCTCCTCCCTGTGTGTAATTCATATCTACATTTTCAGCCTTGGGGTCTATTGCATTATTTTTTCTAGAATTATTGACTTTTCCCTCCTATATGCCCCTTCCCAATTTTTTTCTATCCATTCAATTTCCTTCTGAGTGCCTTCAGTTTTAGTAAACCAAAACATGCATTATAGGAGAGATCTTCTACTGTAATGCACCTCCCATGTAACCTTGGTCGTCTGAGCTTGTCGTCTCTCTTAAACCTACAGTTGACAGATGTGTCCTCCTAATCTACGTGACGTCGTCTTCCTTATCGAGCAAGCAAGAAGGAACTCGAAGCATAGGACCGACTCAATGGTGACTGAATATTCCTTACCGCTCCTGCATCCCCCAGCTAGTGGTATCCTCTTGAAGCAAGCGGGAAGCATGGTAGAGGAAAGGACAAGACGACAGTGGCTTGACACTCTCTGCCACTCCTGTAGCATGTGTGAATTCAGTTGGGCTGATTTGAGGTCCTTTGGAGAAAGAAGACTCCACGAGACCATGACATGTGGGTTACTAGTATAAATTGCACGGTTAGTAACCAAGGGCGGATCCAGGAACAAAAAATTGAGGGGACTCTGTTACACGGTTTCTTCAATCTTCAGCCATTTAGAGACATTTAATTTATCATTCATGATAAAAAAAATCGAAGGGGGTGCTCCGGGGATATCCATGGGTCTTGTGGGTGTAGGGGGGACTCAAGTCCAGCTATTGGTACTAGTAGAGGCGGATCCAACGTGGGTGCATTATTAGGTCATGTTAGTGTCCGATTTATTTTGAGAAATTTAATTTTTCATCACTTTTACGTTCGATAATTGCTCAAATACCCTTATTAGGTTTGCATTAACAATATGCCATTGTGGAGATGTTTTCTTTCTTTTTTTTTTCCACCTGTCGCACTGTACATCGCCACATGTGTATGCCAGCGTGGAATGGGCACGAAATGATCAATATACCCCTGCATCCAGAACCCTAAATCAGGCTCTATCCCCTCGACCGAGCGCCGCCATCGACGGGTGACGCCGCGCCGTCGACGCCCGCCGGCCCATCGCCTCGAGTCGGCCCCCGCCCACCCGCCTCGCGGCATCGACGCCTGCCGGCCCCGCGCCACCGCTGAAGCTGGGTCGAAGGGAGTCCGCGGCCCGCCGTCGACGCCGCGTGGTCGGCCGCCGGCATCGCCGCGTTCGTCAGCTCGGGCATCGTCCCGGCATTTCTTCTTCCCCGGCAACACCGCACCGCATCGTCGCCGTCATCCTCCGGCGTCCCGAATCGTGGGTCGGAGAGATGCTCAAGTTCTTGTCGAAGGTGGTGGTGGAGTACTGCCCGCTGGACCCGCGGAAGGCGGCGGTGGTGGAGCTCCTGGCGCAGTGCAACGGCCGCAAGGCCAAGGACTCCAACCCGGCCTGCTCCGTCGAGCTCCGCCGCCTCCCCTCGCCGCCCCCCGCCGACGCCGCGGCGGCCGGGGAGAAGAACGCCCACCCGCCCCCGCGCGTGCTCGTCACCTACTTCAACGGCGTCGAGGAGTCCTTCGTCGCCGCGGAGGGCGCCACCGCGCAGGGGATCCGCGACCAGATCCTCGACCGCGGGCGCCTCCTCGACACTGAGCAGCTCTTCCGCGACGGCGGGGAGAAGTGGCCCGTCCTCATCCCCGAGGAGGAGCTCACCATGTCGTTCCCGGGCATCAAGGTTCGCCTCTTCGTCTTCCTTTCGTCCAACACCTTGCCTGCGCGTGCGTTTCTTGTGCTACTATGGGTGGCCTTTTGGGTGATTATATAGTTTCATTTGATCGAACACCTTGTGGGCGATACTACTTACCGTATTCGTTAGCTTTTAGTCCCAGTTCAATAAACTCGTCACAACTCCATGAGGCTCATATAGCGGTATACTTCTAATCATACAGAAGAAAGTTATAGATAACATCTTAATCCAATAATAAAGGCCCACTATGCAAGGTAGAAAAGCATAAGACTTCCACTCCGGCAATTCAACAAACAAGTTGTGTGCGGGCAGCAGGGGTGAACAATGTAGCAAGCATTTATTTAGAATCAATTCAAAAAAGCCTTTAAGGCATCATATTAGAATAGTTTGAGCCGCTACTTTGGAGACATTCATAAACTTATGTTTTTCATCTAAGGCTTGTACATGAGAGTTTGGTTAAGGTATGGAATTCCGTCTTAGATAACAGATATTGATGCTTCTTTGGAAAAATGCCTAGTAAGCCTGCGTGTACCCATCGATCCATGCTGGTTCATTTGGCTTACAGTTTTCTAACTAATCTGAACTAGGGAATGGGGACAAAATGTACTTTTAGATAATGGTGTGGGTCAGTGGGTACCCATAAGTTCGCAAACTTGCACCCTTGTTTGTAAGTGAAGGTGCCAATTTAAGTGATATACAAGTCTGCTGTTAACAGGCAAGCAATGCAACAGTATACAGCTAAGATGTATTTAGCAGGTCTAGATTTAACTTTTTATGTGTTTTTTTGGCTACTAAAGAAATGTCCTATTCTTCATTTGATGAGGGATGGTTTATGAACTATTTTGTTTGCACTGGGTAGGCTGCAATAGTCTCAACAGTTTAGTACCTGAGAGGACTAATCGAAAACAACAATTTACAGAAATGGTGTAAAGGCAGTTAGTGGTTTTTTCGTGGCACAACAGAGAACTGAGTCATTAGTGGCAACTACAATCTCCCCACTTATTAATTAACACCAAAATATTTCCAAAGTCCTTCATTCAGAACTTGTTCAATTTATAGGGAATTTTTAACTTGCAGAAGCAAAAATTTTCATTTAATCAATCTAGAGCTAAATTTTACTCTAGTCATGCATGGCATCTTGTGTGAAAGGTTAGTATCATTTATGAAAGTTATTTAATTTAATACGTACCATTACTAAATGCAAGCAGTGCAATTGACAAGCAAAGATGTCCTTCTGTGTGTATGTGTACCTTTAGAAAGAAGTTCAATAGTTATTTGATTAAACTATCCACAGGAATGCTTTCTTCCTCAAATTCATATAAACTTGAGTGCTTTATACTCCCTCCGTTTCACAATGTAAGACTTTTTAGGATTGTCCACATTCATATAGATGTTAATGAATCTAGACATATGTATATATCTAGGTTCATTAACATCTATATGAATATGGGCAATACTAGAAAGTCTTATATTATGAAACGGAGGGAGTACTGTTTAATATGGGTTCATTTGTAGGTTGTGTCAATTCATTTTGTACTAAAATTTAGTGAACTAAGCATCCTTTATTTGCCAGTGTTCATATGCAAAATCTCAATACTAACATGATCGATTGCTAGGTATATTCATTTGCTTGTTATTGTACTCCCAAACTGCCCCTTTCAGGGAACAGTTTGCATGTCTATTCGTTCAGTTTATGTTGCAAGTAGCCAGCTGTTTGTGCATTGAAACAGAAGTGCATACTGTTGCAATGATGTCCTGATGTGTCTGATGGCCATCACCACTACCAACTCAAATATTTTTACTAAAAAAACAGAGTGTTATGTTTTGCGTTTTATTTCTTTTTAGATGCCAGACTTATCTAAGAGAATTTTCTATTCCATAGCCAGGTTCTACTATTATTTCTCATTGGCAGTATTCGACGTGTTGTGTTTCTCATTGACAAGTTTGACATCTTTTTGCCTGGCAGCCAAAGAAAGCCGAGGAGAAGCCCCAGGCCTAGTGATCCAGGCATAGATGGAATAGCTTCCAGCATATCTTGAGGTGTTCATTTTGGCTATGTTGTTCAGGACACCCTTCCTCTTTATTTTTGCTGAACGCGCTTCAGTAGATGTTAAAAAAAAACCTTCCTGGAATGGGTGTTCCATAGTCATATATCGCTGTACGCTTATAGCCCTTCTCTCAGTGCAGTCTGTTGTGAACGAATTTATTCAGAATAAGCACCCTCACTGTTTTGTAGTGGATTTCACTACTATACCTGTTTGAAGGGTAGAGAGAATGGGCAGGGTGTATCTATTTGAAGAAATAGACTGCTTAGAGTTTTCATTACTATATGATAGATAATTGGAGTTTTCAATTTTCAGTAATCAAGCTGAAGTTCTTGAGGCTAATCAAACCTTTCAGAGGCATTATGCTTTCCAGTAAATTGCTTGATGAAAAGAAATCATCTTATGTAGTTAAGTAAAAACAGGACAACAGAGTGAAGAAAATTATGGATGAGTAGATTTTTGCTATCAAAAGAAGTGCCCCGTAGTTCTCCAATAGTCCACCTATTAGCTCCATTTTACCAGTCGCTCCATCCTCCATTAATAAAGGAGAGAACTTTGGTCGGTACAGTGCCCTCAACAAAAACAAGAATGTTTTAAACTCCTCAATGTATTTCCACAGTAATTGGATTCCTGGATAAGTAAATTCCCTTGCCGTTTAAAGTTTAAATCATATGTTAGTACTACAGGTGAAGGATATAAGTTATTTTGCTGTTTAAACTAATATATTTTAAAGTATACTTAGGTTAAGAATATACTTCCTCCGTCCCAAAATATAAACATTTTTGGATTCTGACACGGTTTTCGAGATGCTACTTTGACAAAAAATATCTATAAAAACAAAATGTTTTATATAAAAAGAATTGCATATTAGATAGTTTGTTTAATGATAAATTTAGTAACATCAATTTTACATGATTGATCTTCTTTATTTTTTTTTCTATTAATAGTCAAAGTTAAAAATGCTTGACTTGTCATTATGCTAAAAATGCTTATATTTTGGGACGGTGGGAGTAGCATACAGTAACTAGCTAAGGTTTAGAAGCAACTAATTTGGAAACAGTACGCACATAAGTAGCATTAGAAAAAGAGTTCAGGACACAATGCTTGTAGAAAGGGAAAATCTTGGTAAGAGCTAGAAGGGAAATTTTTGGCATCATCACACAAAGATTGAATCGGCTCTCTCATGAGATCTACAGTCTGGCTCTGCTCATTGGCTGCTCTATTTCCTTCAGCTTTAGACAGCCTTCTATCTTCACCTTGTTTATTTCCGCAATCGCGCCTGCTCCACCAATTGATACAAGATCTTCGCAACCCCGAATATGTAAATCCCGGAGCGATGAGAGATTACCGCGCCACAGTGAAGCTGGAATGTATGCCACAATTGAGCAAAAGGTGATCTCCAGTGACACGAGGGAGGCAAGGTTCTCCAGGCAGCTGGGTACACAGGGAGAGATATCCCCACATCTAGTTAAGGAGAGCCTTTGGAGAGTAGATGGCAAAACCAGGCGCCTGTGCCACTTGAGACTTGGACAGAAACAAATCTTCAGATCCTTCAGAACAGAAAAGTCCTTCAACAGTTCACACGGCAGGGTACGCAGACTGCTACATAGGGCAACATAAATTTTCTCTACAGCAGGTTGATGCTCAGGCCACAAGAGGTGATCGAGGGTCGTCATATTATTGCAGCTGCTTATTTTCAGGTCAGTGAGGCATGAGAATGTTCTAATGCTGCTGTATTCTCCTGGAACAGAAAGGCTGGTGAGGACTGATGATTGAGACTCTCCAGTAATCCCACTGTCTGCAATCTGTAACTTCTGTAGTGCTGGAAAGCTACTGCTCCAGACATGCAAGGGAATGGAGGTTACATGCCAAAGGGAAAAAACCAAGGAGGTCAGGGAACAACACTCAATGTCTCCCAGGAGATTCCAAGAATTAATCAGCTTGAGCTTCTTGAGGGTAGGTATTGACAAGCTTTGTGGATCATTCAAATTCGGGCAATGAGACACCTCCAGTTCTTCAAGGAAATGGAATTCACCCAACCTGTCAGTTGGCAGTTCAACTAACTGTCTACATTTTGTAATCTTTATTGTCTTGATGGCCGGTAAGTAAGCAGGTTGTAGAAATTGGTCGAGGTTTGATAACTTATTGCAACTTTCAATGATTACGTGGTTCAGGGATGAAAATATTCCAGGTCTGCCTTTATTGTTCTCAGTTAGAACCTTGGGTATCTCATTTGGGTCTATGGACTGTGACATGCTGGGAGTTGGTATGGTCACAAAATCATGGCAAGCAATAAGCTCAAGGGATGTTAACATTGGCAAATTACTTGGATGAAACCAGGTTGGAAGAAATTCACCTGGACAACCCGTGAGGTTCAGATAACTGAGACTAGTGGGAGGAATTAGAACTTGAAGCACCTCAGTCAACTTCTGCACTTGTTGTCCCATAGAAGACCATTTCAGGGTCATCGTGTTGACATATTTCTTGTTCTTTAGTGCGGCTTTTGCAGCAATATCCTTTCTTATTAGACCAATATTATCTATCGTCAGACCTCCGCAAATATGGTTCACATACTGCAGTATAGCTCCAACTTCCTGTCCATTAATTGCATCAAAATGAGTTTGGAACTTGGGATCACAACGAAATGCACATGAATCAAATCTCCGTAAATTCCTTAACTTATTGAAGTCACTGGGCAAGTTTTCTAGCCTGCATTTTGTAGCCGAAAAAATCTGCAAATTATATAGATGACAAAACTCTTGAGGAAGGCTTTTGAAAGGACAGTCTCCAGAGATTTTAAGGTACCGTAGATGCTTCAATTTCCCAATACTCGCCGGTAACTCCTTTGTGTAGGGACAAACAATCACACGCATATGCTGAAGTTCAGTGCACCAACGGTCCATAACACATGCTAAAGTCTTATCCTGTAGAGACCTGTGGCAGAGTAGAGTGCGCAACTTTTTGTGCTTACAAAGGCTCAGCAAGAGATTGCAGTCAAAATTTGTGCTAGGGAGTATGAATAGATGACGAACACTTGAAGGAACTTTCTCAAAATCATCCTTGTCTTTTAAGATGAAGCACTCATGCTTTGAAACTAATTGTGCCATGTCATGCAGCAAATCATGGATTACATAATTGCCATGAACTTTCTGAAAGAATGACCGATTTACAAGTTCTTCAAAGTACTGACAACCAATATCTAGAATTGGAATGCTACCTTCAGGTTCCACGAAGCCTTCTGCAATCCAAATTTCAGCTAAACCGGCCTTTTCAAATAGGTGATCTTTTGGGTAAAGAGCACAGAACGAGAAGCATCTCTTCAAGTGGAATGGTAGATACAAGTAACTCAACCGAAGAGCGGGCAAAATCTCAGTGTTATGTTGTCTCAGCTCCCATAGTTCACTCTGTAGTATGTTATTCCAATGTGCAATGTCAAGGCTGGTTCTCAACAGGCGTCCTAATGTTTTGGCGGCTAATGGTGAACCCTTCAACTTTGGGACTATGTTTCTACCGATGCGCTCTAGCTCCGGATAATCACTAGAATCGGAAGATCCAAATGTGCATATTTTGAAGAAATTCCAGAAGATATCATCCTTCAATCCCTCTAATCGGACGGGTTCCATTGTTTTCACCTCATGAGCAACCTCTAAAGATCTAGTGGTGACTAACATTATACTTCCCTGTGCCAAAACATTTGAAAAAGGTGCACAAAACCTCTTCCAACATCGTCCGCTTTCCCTCAGGGCATCATCCCACATGTCATCAAGTATAATCAATAATGTTTTATCCCGCACTTTTTCAGAAAGAGCGTGCTGAAGTGAATCCAAATGATCAGCTGTTGACTCTTTCTTAGAATAGGATTGTATGGCTTCTTTAGTTATTCTCTTCCCATCAAAAGTTGTTGACTCTTTTTTAGAAGAGGATTGTATGGCTTCTTTAGTTAATCTCTTCACATCAAAGTCGTCTGAAACACAAATCCAAATTATCATATCAAAGTGAGAAATCACTCGTGGATCATGCAATATATGTTGGGCCATAGTGGTCTTTCCAACACCCCCAATTCCAACTATTGGCAGAACAGGAATACTTTCTTGGTTGCATCTTGATGTGCTTGTTGATTCATCATTATTTTTTCTCCTGCGCTTGGAACGAGCATCGGTGCCGTTTTTAGGTACACCAAGCAATTCCATCACTTGCTGCAGTTCATTATCACGACCAAATATTTCTCTTTCATTTAGGAAAGAGCTGGTCTCTGGCCTGAGTGAATTGTCAAACCGCCGGGGAACTTCATGCAGCCCCATCTTCTCCAGTTGGCTAGAAATATTATACAGCCTTTTGATGACATCGTTCACTTTATTAAAGCTTCCTTGAATGACACTATCAAAGAAGTCCATAAAAGGAGATTGGCTTGCATTACCTTCCAGTGCCACCTTTTGTTCATACCATCTGAACTCATCAAGAAGGTCATCAGCGTTGTACATTGCATCCTTGAGATTTGGGAGGAGCTCGGCCACACGGCGTTCGTGGCTCCTCCACTCTGCGCGATCGATTAGATCGTACTTTGCAGGAAGAGTATCCCTCAGACATTGCAAGCTACTCTGCAATTGCAACAATTCACCCTGAAGCTTTTGATCCTGTGTGTTGCTCCATCGAGAGTGGACACATGACATGGCAGATTTTGCCCACTGAAAAAAATTAAAACACTCATTGATGCCACTAATGAACCCAATGGTCTTGGATAAGCTCATGGTGATTGGAGTCTGGGGATTCCTTCAAGCCCTGTGAACAGAGTAGATTAATTTAGTGAAAAACATAAAAGTATATCTTGTGATTAAGTCATATATGATAAAGCTGAAGTTTTTATCTTTTCATAGTGCTCTATAGAATTTCCGGTTGGGAGAATTACAAATATACCACTACTTTCACCCCCCTAACTCAGAATAGCCATTAAAAAAAACTTCAATTGCAAATTTTCCACTGAAGTTGGTCTATGTACCTTTTGTTTGCCATTACCGTCTGAAACAGTGCAATTAAGACGACAAAATAATTCACAAAACTAAAGTAAAAAAGACAAAGCAACATGATAAGACCATTTTACCCTTTGGCCATAGTTGATCCTCTCCCCATCCCTCACGACTCAAGTCATATACATGTACATGGGCCAAGTGGGCCAAAAGGCCAAAACAGGAAGATATATGTATATACATTAACACCCCCTATCAAACTATAGGCGGATCAACAACGTTATGTTTGGAAAGAAGAAAATTGTGCGGATTCTGAGTTTGTGGTTTGGTGAAGAAGTCTGCAACTTGAAGTTATGTTGGCAATGAAACCATGAAAAGGAAGCATCAGCCCCTATATGTATACTGAGTTCATGTTTCACAAAATTTGATGCTATTTGGATAGCACTTGTGTTGTCACAAAATAGTTAAGTAGGTTGTGAAAGGAGAATGCCAAGATCAGCAAGTAGCCATTGGAGCCATATAACTTCAGCAGTTGCAGTTGCAAGAGCTCGTAATTCAGCTTCAGCACTCGTATGACAGGACTGTGATAAGATTTTGTTTGCATGGTAATTGGAATCACCGGAGCCGATTAGAAATGTCACATGCAAATGCAATGGTACTAACAAGAAGTAATGCCATTAACCCATTCTAATAGGATATGTGCGAGTTTTCTTTAAAAAATTAGCTCATGTTGGAGGTGAGAACAAAAGTATTTTCAAAAAACAAGTTATCTAGCAGCTCTACGTGAAGAATATTTTTTTATAGAAGAGTTAAGATCATATGAAAATAAATCCTTGATCATTTGTATGTGTATGCAACTTTAGTTTTTCCCGTTGCAACGCAGGGGCAAAAGAGCAAGTGCACAGTTCTTTTAGTGAAGGAGATCAGGCAAGCGTGCAGTTAACCAAAAGAAAAGAATCCTCAGGTGTAGTTTGTACATTAGAAGCAAACAGTTTCATTGGTACGGCCGCACGAAGTAACAGAGCAGCAAGTGATGAAGAAATAAGAAGATTGGAGAGAGGGCATGCATACAATCGAGGGGAGAGCAATGAAGCGAAGTTGGGCCCGGCGGCTGCAGCGGCCACCAAAACAAATCAAAACATGCAGCTGCAGGCAGGCCCCTGCTGTTTCCCGTCGAACATTTCAGATCAGTTTAGGGAGATTACGAGTCATGAGACGTACTACTACTAGCAATCAGTTAAGACGTAAACAAGCAAACGGGAGGAGGAGGGGAGGGTTACCGTGGCGGGAGATGATGATTAACTTGATCGTCTGCCCGGCGCCCTACGCGTAGTGAATCTGCTCTCTGCTTTTGCCTAATTGGAACAGATTTTCCGCCGCTTCGTAGGCTCGTAGCCAACACTGGCCTCTGCCTCTGAACTCTCAAGCTAATACTCCCTTCGTACCAATAAAATTAGATTTAAGAATATATATGTTACATTATAATACTGTGAATATATACAAATTTGTAGTACTAGAATGTGTCGGAGGGAGTAGTAAGTAGTACCTCCATTCTAGAAAGAGGACAGTTTTACATTGTTCATATTTAACGTTTAACCATCCGTTTTATTTGAAAAAATTTTATGATTAGTATTTTTGTTGTTATTTTTATGTGTGACTAATTTTTTTTTAATTTGTAATATTTTTTAAATGAAACGGATGATTAAACGTTGAATACGAAAATCCACAAGTACACTTAATTTTAAACGGAATTTTAAACGGAGATAGTAGTATCAAGAAATGAGGGAGGAAAAGGCGCCGTGCGCGTGCGAGGAAGCTTCACTCCAAGGAACGAGACGACTTGACCTGGCTTGCATAAAGTTCCAACGCCCAACTCATGCCAAAATAGAGTTCATCGATCGATTAAATGACAGTGGTCGAAAGGTACCCATCCAATTTCTAACCAATTAGTATCCACCGTTGAACATATCCAATGTACACAATCTTTTCGTGCACACTCCGTATAAACCAACTAGCAAATATTATAAAAAATTCTAGAAAAAAATTAGACATTTACTCCTAATTGTACTACACATATCTGTAAAGTCTAATGTTCAAATTCATTATATTTTAGCAGTAGCAAAAAAAAAAAAGAAAATCTGACGGTTTAAAGGGTTAAAATCTGTCAGAATTTTTTCTTTTTTTTACGGCTAAAATATAATGAATTTGAAGATAAGATTTCACACATAGGTGTAATACTATTGGAAGTATGTGTCCAATTTTTTCTAGAATTTTCTGTGATATTTGCTAGTTAGTGTGCACGGAGTGTGCACGGAAAACTTGTGTGCACATGATATGTTCCCTCCTCTAAATAGTAAACTAGAGAGAAAATGACATCCACTAGGGTAGTGTAGTAATTCTCTGGACTTGAGGACGTTGGAAATCTGATTGTAATTCAGCATATTTTAATCTAAAAATATAAATATAGTATAATAAACATGACATACGTAATAAAAGGTGATCCTAGCATGGTGATAAACATAAATATGCTAACAGGAATAAAAGCATCTAACAACATGTTAAACACCAAGATAAGAGTAGTAATATACCCAGTGAACGCTCCAGAGGATGATGAAGCATCGACATTGCCTCCGTTGATGCTGACGTTCTCGGTTTAACCTCCTCTAGTACCGCCATTCCCTTCTCCTCCAGTAACACTGGCGCCGGTGGTAGACATCGCGATGTAGAGGAAGAAGACCTTGACGAAGAGGATGCAGTGCCAAGAGAAGTCGCGCGAAGAACGCGCTTCCCCGAAGATTGATCGCCCGCCTACCCATGCAGGTACTCAAGCAAACGGAGTTCCGGAAGCCTACTTGTCTCGAGTATCCATGCACACAGATGCTTAGAATTGGGGAAATAAATGCGTAGCTCAGGAACAAAAGAACATAGAGCTTTCCTGGGGAGAATTAGAGTGAGGGGGATGAACAGAGAGAATTGGATTCACCTCTGTCTATGCTGGAAGTGGGATTTATACTGTGCGAGAAAGAGAGAGACGTTAGCAGGGAATAAATCCGATTCAATGTCGATTCGCTGCTCCATACTGCGCATGGATGCTTAGAATTGGGGAAATAAATGTGTAGCTCAGGAACAAAAGAACATAGAGCTTTCCTGGGGAGAATCAGAGTGAGGGGCATGAACAGAGAGAATTGGATTCACCTCTGTCTATGCCGGAAGTGGGATTTATACTGTGCGAGAGAGAGAGATAGAGAGAGAGAGAGAGAGACGTTAGCAGGGAATAAATCCGATTCAATGTCGATTCGCTGCTCCATACTGTGCGAGAGAGATGTTAGCAGGGAATAAATCTGATTCAATGCCAATTCACTGCTCTACTCGTTACTGAAGTATCATCGCACGTCGGTTACGCTTTTGATCATCAAAACAAATCGTAACGTTGGGAGAGGAATCCATCCTACACACACATCATGGCACGGCCACTACGCGCGCGCGTGGCAATCCCACCACCACCTCAACAACTCAACAGGTGTTCTTTGATAGCAACCTATTTAAATCGAGGTCTTTCCACGTTGATTTTCATGGTGGTATTAATCCCCTAACATTAATTGTGGGCCCATGGAATTATTAGGATTAAATTGGGCCTAGCCCATTAAACCGAACAATCCTCACCGAATTTGAGGGCTCACGGAAAATGTTATCAGTTCTGCACCTGTTTGTTATACCAGTGTTTCGGTGGAGACTCTTAAGTTTATCTTTCACCTTGAAAAGGAGCTACACCTAACCATAAGTGAACAATGGACTATGCCTTGATTTGTCAGTCTTGTGCAGTTAGGTTTTACTCAATTCCTTAACTGATATTAGGCTGTTGTTAGCATCTCCTCTGTTTTGAGTGAATAAATCATACCCCGGGCCTTTTCATGAGCATATAGAGATCACCCAAATATGATAGTATGTGACTAGCAGTTGGACTCATACATGTGTGTTCCTTCTAAGATGTTCACGCCAACATCTTTATTTTAAGAAAAGCCACTTGGATCATTGTTAACACCAAAATTTGGTAAGCCCCTAGGAGAATTATCGCATCGCCAATAGTCAAATTCCTGCTATATTCGGTTAAGGAAATTAATCTATCAAAGGAAGTTTATCCAGAAGTGACCGAGTTCAAGTAGGATGCGGCATGACAAGTTATCTATTAATTAGGAATAGTTTGTTAGTTTCCTTTTATCTTTAGGAAAGTGTGTTTAGTGTCCTATAAGTACTTTATGTTTTCCTTTTATCTTTAGGAAAGTTTCTTTCTTGTCCTACAAGGACTAGTATCTACCCAGGGGTATAAATATGTACACACGGGGTCATTGTAATCTATCTCTAGATCAATACAACTACTCTTGGCGCATCGCCACCCTCTTTACCGAGGTTTTTACTTATCATCCAGCGGAATTTGGCACCTGACGCGGGGCTGCATCGGTTCAGTTCAATCTCCGGTGAAGGGGTAAGTCCTACGTTCCGCCGGCCCTAGTGAATCTATCGGCTACGTTGGTGTTGTTCAAGGCTGCATCGCTTCGATCTCTTGGATCGCTCTGGTTTGGTTGATATATTTGCCTATCTAATATCTCAATTATATCTCTAATTGCATTGTGTTTAGAGACGCATCTGTTTAGTTGGGCCTATCTCGGTTAGGTCCGATCTTCTGTCTTAACTGATATATCTCTACAATCACAATGTTTTTTCTAAATAGATTTGTTATATCCATCACATTAGACAGATCTATCGGCTCATCGAGTATTAGATTATCATATACAATCTCGTGCTGTATCAGTTAGGTTCGACCTACTAGATTGTTGTTGATAATATAAATCTTGTTGAGCCGATAGGTTCATGCTAGTGTTTTATCGGGGTGCTAGCCGATAAGTTATCTGGACGTTGCATCAGCTTATAAGGATTACATACAAGTTGGGTTTAGCCGATCGCAACAAAGGTTTCACTGTTTAATCTAATATTGTGGATTTTATGACATCGGACCTCCAGCCGATGTATGCTTTAACCGTCGGATCATTGCTTATTCTATCATGTCATTGTTAGCCAGTTGGTTTCTACTGGATTATATTGTTGCTTTCTTGCATTATCATCAGTCGATTGCCTTTATATCATTATTTTCTCAAGTATCAAAATATACATTGGACATATAGCCGATAGCTCAAAACCCTAGCGCTATCGACTGGTATCGGCATCGGCTGGAACTACTCCATCGGCTCGTCAGCCGATCGGCTCATTGATCTACTATTTGCATACCTTGTTAGTTGCAGGATCAATCTGACTGGCATGCCTGCACCTCATCAAGATTTGGACCTACACTAGAGCTAAGCAGATCTCCCATGCCAGTGTGTGTTTTTTGCATCAACAATAATATTAAGGTATGAGCCAACCTGTCATACAGATAGGGAGATAAGTACATCAAAGAAATGAGCACATTCAAAGGTCTCTCCTCCTAGTCACCCAATAGCTTGTTTTGCCATCCAAATTCATGGGATCTCTGATCACATAGGATATGTTACCACTATTGTGTAACTTCAAGTGGGTCTCAAGCCCATCTCACTTGATGCACTGTCTATCACATTACATGATATTCCCTTAGTAACCTGATATGTCATATTTTTAGCAGTTTGGACATATTCCAATGTTATCACTTCGGAGTTTTTTAGCTTTTTGATAGACTTCAGTCTTCTCTTTACATGTCTAAATGACTTCATATTATCCTTCGAACTGTTCACCTTAATAATCATCGTTTGATTATTACTGTTCAGTAGGATAGCTGGTACTAGTTTTTCAACCACCGGCAAATCCATCAGGAAATCACGAAGCCACTTGGCCTCAACACTGGCAGTGTCTAATGATGTGAGTTATGATTCCATTGTTGATCTCGTTAAGATGGTATGCTTACAAGACTTCCAGGAAACAACACCACCTCCAAGTGTGAACACATATCCACTTGTGGCTTTTATCTTATAAGCATCAGATATCCGGTTTGAATCACTGTAGCCCTCCAATACTTTTGGGTACCCATCATAGTGAATTCCACATGCCAATTTGAGTTGAAACCTGATGATTTTAATTGTTGAAGGCTATTTTTGGCTTTTACAATTTCTAGAAATAATTTAGACGATAAAATTTTCGGGTGATTTTTAGGGCACGACATGTTTAACCATTCATCTTATTTAAAAAATTATATAAATATCATTTATCTTGTTGTAACTTGTTTATCATAAAAACTATAATCTTTTGTTATAGTTGTACATATCTATACTAAATTTTTGAATAAGTCGAATGGTAAAATGTTATACAAAAAGTCAACGGTGTCATTAAAAAACAGAAGTAGTAATTGTAGGATTGAATACCAAGAATAAGTCCATCAGAGGGGAATGAATCGCCGGAACACCAAAAATGGAAAACTTTTAGTGGAATTAAAAGTTACCTTGAAACGTCTGTGGAGATCGGTCTAAACGGAGTAGATGCACAGGTCTGACCGCACAGATGCCTTCGATCTGATGGGTATGGAAGCTCCCGACAAAACAACCCAACGGAGACATCTTATTTGTAGGATAGAGACGTTTTATTTCATCTTCCACAAATAACTGAGGCGCTTTTATAAAGCGTCGTAGGAATACCTACATTATTTAAGATGGATAGAGACGTTTCATTTCATCTCCCACAAATAACTGAGGCGCTTTTATAAAGCGTCGTACACAAATAATTGAGGCGCTTTTATAAAGCATCGTAGGAATACCTACATTATTTAAGATGTTGCTAGAGACGTGTAAATTGCATCTCTACAAAATATATAGGAACGCTTTTATAGAAGCATCAATATAGGCACGTACGTCTTAATATATTTGATATTGAATATTTAATGCTTTCATCTAGGCGTAGGAATACCTACATTATTTAAGATGTTGCGAGAGACGGCGTAGGAATACCTACATTATTTAAGATGTTGCATCTCTACAAAATATAGAGGAACGCTTTTATAGAAGCATCAATATAGACACGCACGTCTTAATATGTTTGATATTAAATATTTAATGCTTTCATCTACGTTCGAACACAGCACCTGCAGGTTGCAAAGTTCAGGCGCTAACCAAGTCATTAACGTGAACAATATTGAAGGTAAATACATAGTTTTTTTATATTGCAACTCTACAAACATGCGTCCTGTAGCAGATACTCTTCTTTTTTTAATCTGAGACTGAATATTAAATATTCAATTTTTTTGTCCAAATAATTATAATATTATTATAATGGTATTTGATGATGACGATTAGGAACGGTGTGTTTGTTTTCGTCTTTCTCTATATAAATAATTATATATTGTCTAATAACGATGACACACATATAATAAAAACGTCTACAAACTCATCTCTACAGAAACGTCTCAATATTCATCTCTAAACGATTTAATTTTGTGCTAACATGTAAAGCGTCTTAAAACTATTTCCTCAACTAATAAAGCGTCTCAAACATCGTCCCTATTTCAATTTTACTTGTAAAAGATAGACGACTTACGTAGCGACATAAGTGAAACGTCTTAAAACAATGATTTTGTTGTAGTGCGCCCAACCGTCTTGTCTCTACCGCCGTCACCTGATGCCGCCAGTCACACCACCTGGAAGCCACCGGTCTGACCGTCGTAGTTCCATTGGTCTAACCGCCACACTCTTGTCAGTTTGACCACCAATCCCGGAAAAACACAACTCAAAGAACAATTGTGTTTGCAAAGTGTCACTATAGCACTCCTATCTCAAAATTCAACTAAACTCGAAACCCTAACTTTTTCTCTCAACTCAACTACTAAAAAATCAATACCGAGGGGCTTCAACCCCCTCTTCTATTTATATCCGAAGTAGGTAACCTAAAAGCCACAAATACAACTAGTCGTCCTAATCTAGTAGGCAACCTTCCCGTACAACTATCCAACTTATCTTTTACAATTAAAACTCGAACCTTACTAAATTTGGAATCCTTCCAAATTTGACTCCACTTTCCGTACGCACACAATCTCCCATCGTATGCCGCATGGAATTTCCATCAACCACGTGCATTATTCTTTAGGCTAAGTGTCCCGCATGATATCCTGATTGTCCGAATGTCATCTTCTCCCAAGTTGACTCCTGATCCATCACCGGCAACGCTCTCCCGAAGTATCAAGACATCTATACATGAATCAAACAAGAATCATATCCAAGCACAGGTTATTTCCTCACTCAACATTAGCATTGCACACATATAGAAATCATCTAGCCACTAAAATCACGAGTATCCAAATAAACCACTTGAAACTGACACCGACACAGAGTCAGCCGATCTGATCGCACATACCACATCGGTCTAATTGGCCTATTCGACCCGCTCTAACCGGCTCCATACAAAGAGAAACACCACTTCTCTAAGAATCACCAAATATCAAAACCAATTATCTTAAAAACCAACTGTTCATCACAAAATAATAATGAAAACATACTTCAATTTAAGATTAACATACAAATCTCTAAAGCTCTTAGCACAATCAAATAAAACCATACAGTTTAACAGAAATTCTTAATGTTTTCTCCCCCACTTATTTGAAACTTGAAAGGGAAATGCCAACGGGTACATGTCGCTTTGGAGAGGACAAATGGGTAACCTTCAGAGGGTTATCTGTTTTGCAACAAATTGTTTGAGAGAATAAGCCAAGGGCTGGTTTGGTTTGAGGCCTAAATTAGGGTTACCAATATTTGGTAATTTCAATAATGTAATAATGTTTAGTGTCTATTTGGTTTGAAGCCAAATTTTGGCATGCCTAAGAAAATAGGCCATTTCAATAGTGAACTTAGGCTATTTTGGCTTCAATCCAAACACAACTTTACCTTGTCAAAATTAGTCATACCAAAATTTGGCAATGACAAAATTTGGTAAGGCCTATTTAGGCCACAAACCAAACCAACCCCAAGTGACAATAGAGGGAGGAAACTAGAGCTCGGGAGAATATCTTCATCCGTTTCATAATGTAAGACTTTCTAGCATTGTCTACATTCATATATATGTTAATGAATGTAGACATATATATGTGTATAAATTCATTAACATCTATATGAATATGAGCAATGCTAGAAAGTCTTATATTATGAAACGGAGGGAGTATATGCCATTGAAGTCCATCATATTGGTCTCAGAGCAATTCGGCAG